ATGCTGAACGCATCGGTCTTTTTGCATATCAACACGGCGTCGATCCAGCCTTCTATCAGTTCTTCGCTGAGCAAGGAGCTAGAACGAGCTACACGAAAGCCTCCCCCTAAGAGAGCCACCATTGCCATTTTGACCCCTTCATATGATGCCAACATAGCTGCTGGGGCATCTTCGTCACAGTCAGAAATCCTTTCATCAATCCTGCCTACAAAAGCTGGAAGGGTGTTCATTGGTTTCCCTACACAGCAGACTACTGGCTTAAATGCTCACGTATCTGCACCATCTGTGATTCCTACTGTTGAACGAGAGAGTATTGACCTGAATACTCGGTATATCAGCAAGTGGAATCTCGAGATGCTTCGTGCGGTTGGTGTGGTCTGTCGAATTGCTTGGTCCGCGGAAATGGCTACCATCAAGTCCAAATTATCATCAAAAATTGGACCATCGCGCTCAAGAATTCGAAAGGAAGACATCGTCGATGTACTACCAGAGGCTATCCACACTGCGAATCAGTTTGTGTTCCGTGAATCCACCCCGTCTTCGGTTTTGGGTCAGACGATTGAAGATGCATTCTGGATGTGTAACAAGAACGCCTCTATCGAAGTCCTTTCTACCTGCGGTGTCATCCCCAGCCATCAGACTCGCATTGCGCCCAAAGAACTGAGCTTCATGGATTCGATTCCTGCTTTGCCTGACGATTTTGTGAACAACGCCAAAGACTTTGTCAAAAGGCTCACGGATTTCGGCCTCGTTACAGAAATTACGGTATCAGACATCAAACGTGAGCTCGAGTCCAGCACCTTGCGCTCTAACCAGGTTGTTGAATTTATTGCCTGGCTTGGCCGCAAAACGGTGGCTGGCCAGCTTGATAGACTGTCTGTCCAGAGTCTATTGCGTGTAGCAGTGGTCAATGACGAAGATAAAGAAGGACATCCCACTCGCTTGATTATTTTCGCGGATATTACTTGTTTCTTGAACCCCCAGCGTATTCCAGCAGACCTCCCTGTGCCACCCAGTGTAATTCCGTTCCGGTTTACCAAATCTCTGGGCAAGCCGGAACTGGAGGCGCTCGGCTGGGTTGAGCTGCAAATTGTTCCATGGCTTCGTTGGCTCGTCAACAATGCCGGAGACCGCAATGTCCTTTCCATCGACCAGGACATTACACAGACGGCATCATTCTCTGCACAGATCTTGCCTGTTCTATCAAAGCAGTGGGAGCCTCTCAGCCAGGCTTCTAAACAGACGGTTGTCTCAATACTTCAACCTCATACTGTGATCCCAACTAGACTTGGAATGAAACAGCCTTCTCAGACCTACTTTGCATCTGTGCGCCTTTTTGATGACCTTCCCGTGGTTCATGGGTTGAACGGCGTCAAAGAGAAAATCCTGGTATCACTTGGAGTTCGCAAAACGGTTGAGCTTGGTGTGATCTTTGATCGTCTTATCAATACTCCTACGTCCAGCGATGCCAAAGGACCCGCACCGAGAAAATGGAATCACGTTGATCTCATTCGATACCTTACCTCTGTGCGGGAGGACATTCCTGCAAACGATATCCAGAGGCTCAAAGGTACGAGTATTTGTACTGCCGAAAGTGACAGCGGTTCCCAGGGAACACGGTACAAGATATCTGAACTTTATGAACCAAAGGACTCCCTTCGGGCTCTTGGGCTACCGGTGCTCGAGTGGCCAGGCATCTATACCAACAGTAGCAACGAGGGCAAGTTCCTTACAATGATGGGATTGAAGAGCTACCCATCGGCTGTTGAACTCATCCGGCTCATGACCGCCGGAAGTACAGAGAAAGACAGCCGGGCAACCAAGGCTCTGTCGTACTTCCTCAGTGAGTATTACACAAATGGGTACGCTGCATTCGATATCAGCGCGGTCACCGTGCCATTCCTTCCCATCGAAGACTCTGATCAATTGAGTGTGCCTAAGAAATGCTTCACCGATGAAGGTGCAGCCCTGTTTGGCTTCAAAATTCTTCGAAAGGATCTCCACGCCCATGCCTCAAAACTTGGAGTCAAACCTCATCCTCCTATGACGGACTGTCTTCAGGTTCTTTCAAAGCAGCCCCCTACTACCCAAAAGGATGCTCGCATTGTCTTCAAGTACTTAGCAGGCCGGGTGGCAGACTTGAACTCGCAGGATATCCAGCGTATTAGCCAGGTTCCAATAATTCCAATTGCCATCCGCAGTCAAGCCGAAAAGGCGCCCAGAACCCGTCTTGTGGCGCCTAGGCTTTGCTATCTTGGAGACGGAGAAGACTACAAGGGAATCTTTGACTTTGTTGATTTCGGTCAAGAAGCGAACCTCTTCCTCATGGCCGTCGGCTCAAAACGGGAGCCCACTAAGATCGAGATTGCGCGAATGCTGGTCAAAGAGCCAGCTCGCATCTCTGCTGCGTTCCAAAGTTCTGAGAAATACTTGATGCTCCTCAGGACCCTCGCGGAGCACCTCCCAACCCTGAAGAAGGATAAGGATCTTTTTGTTGAGATGAAACGAGCTCCATTCCTCATGGCGAGCCGAGATATTCCGCCCTGTGGCACAGATAATGGCGACAAGGAAAAGTCCAAGGAGCCTCTTGATGAAGACGACGATCTGGATATCAGAGAGTGGAGCTTGGCATCTGCAAAGGACATTGTTGTGGTAGATGCTTTCCAGAGTTTCAATCTGTTCAAAGAGCACATCCTTGCCGCGCCACAAGAAGAAGCACTGGAGAACTTCTACACTGCCCTTGGTGCCATTCCATTGAGTGGTCTTGTTGAAGAACAAGCGCGGTTTGGCAGCGTGGCAGCTGACCAAACACTTGCCGTCAAGCTGCACAAATTGATCCTAGAGCGTGCACGACTCTTCTTGCATGATCAACCCGCCGATTCTATCCTGCATGGAACTCGATGGCTGGAACACTCCTTCAAAGTTCAGGTCGTGACCGCAATATCTCTCACGAGATCCCTCAAGGGCCGACGAGTTTCCCACACACAAAAGCGAAATGCCATCGTTGCAGAATTGGGGAGGAACTGGGGTATGTGTATCACCCCGGGTCGATATGATCTGTATGAGATCAGTCAGTCGTTGGTGCATCTGATTCTGAAGCGGCCCAAGCTGCATTCGACCCTTACACTAGAGATGCTCTTGAAGACAGATCTTCTGGAACTCCGAGCCCGAGGTTACAACGTGGAACGTATTCTGAGACAAAAGGCCCAGGAAGCCCGGGTGGCAGAAGATAAGCGTCAAAAGCAGGTTGAAGAAGAACGGCGTGCCTTGGAGGAAAGAGAAGCCGCATGGGCTGCGACTCAAGCCCAACGTGCGGAGGAAGACAGACATGAGCAACAGGCACAAAATGCGATGCCGGGTGTCTTCCCTGAATCACCAAACAATAACAAAATGTTACCAGCGGAAGCACATGCTCCTCCACCAGAGCCTATGCCTGAGCGTCCCAATCGCGGCTTGTTTGCCAACTTGTCGAAGCGATTTGGCTTGGATGGTAATAAATCCGGCTCCTCTGGCTCTGGAGAACAATCCAAATCTTTGCTACCCGAATCTTCTACACCTCCACCGCCGCCCTATTCTCCCAGTGACCCCCAGAAACCGCGCCCAGAACAACCTGTATCTGTCAACTCGCCGCATCGCTTGAACTCCGAGCTTCTCTCCGCCGTTCAAGCATGCCGGCCCCACGGATCTTCCGATGTGTATAGCCGACCGGAGACGAATCAAATCTCCGAAAGCAAGTCATACTGTGACGAACGTCCAAGCCACGACCTGGAGTTCGTCGCTACACTTCCCAGCGGCGTCAACGTACTGTTCACAAGGACAGTCACGGAACGATCCACATTCCTCGCAAGCAACCGTGCAGGCTTCAATCTCTTCGCCTCGATTCTCCTCGACTGTGGTTCAATCTTCTCGATGCGAGCTGATAGCCTCAGCATCTTCTACGACCCAGGTGGCAAGACAATCGCCTTTAACCGGGCAGGCAGTATCTTCTGCAACTATTTCTATTTCCAGCAGCTGCAGGAGCAAGCCCTGCTCCAGAGTCCCGCCCCCGACCGTACTGACGCTATTGTGTATTGGTGGGTGATCCTTTGCCATGAGCTGGCGCATAATTTGGTCGGGGACCACAGCTCGGCGCATAGTTACTACACTGAAGGCTTTGTGGCGCAGTATTTCCCTAAGGTTGCTGTTAAGCTTGCTTCGTTACAGGTGCCGGCTAGACAGACTTGATCTTTTACAATGTTCAATACCCTCATATGATGTTGGATTTGCTCGATTTGCTCGATTTATGTCCCTTATGTCCCGTCCCTTATGTCCATCCCCTGTCAATAGTGTAGCTCCCATGGATATTAGGATGTTCTAGAATGTTAGAATGTCTCAGTTCAACCCTACACAGTAGCAGACGGCATCTTCAGGGATCTAACGGTTCTTCCCGGTTCCCCTGTTCCCCTATTAGGGCCACTCGGACTTATTCGGTTTTCAACGAAGTCCATCATACATTAAATATTTTGCCTGACAATATTTTAAGTTATTGTTTATTATATTACATGCATATCGGAGAAATAAGCAGTAAGTATACAGTAAGTATATGCAAGTCAACACGTCTTGCCACTCGGTGGAGCATATCCGTTGGTACCCGCTTTTGCCCTTTTCGCAACCTTAATTTTTCGTGACTTTTGCTTCATTTTTCACGCCTCATGCATTCTTAGCTTATCCTCCCTGGCCTTGGACGTGGTGACCTGCTACGTTCTTTTCTCTCCTTGTATCTCTTTCCAATCATTCGTTCGTCATTCCCTCCGGGTGTGCTTGGCACATATCGCCACTCTCTGACCCCAGTCTGCTAGGTTAGCGGCGATCTCCTGGGGTCCATTCTCGGAAATAGATGGGCCTGAGCTGCAGACATCTCTGAAAAGCCTCACTATCTAACTGATCCCGGGGGCCATCGCGGGTTCTGACAATCTCACCCCAACTACCCCACTCCATACATAATCTTTGCACAGTATCACATGGCGCCAATGCTAGGTCATTGGGATGCTCCCAGCACCGGGAGCCCCGTGTTCAAGCATAATGCTGACCTGCCCAAGAACATCTTATATGTCGATGCATATGACTCATTCTCTTACAATGTGGTCGCCATGCTCGAGGAAACGCTGGGCGTCAAAGTCACAGTGATGACCATCGACTCGGAATGGCCCAACTCCAATATGAACGATTTTCTTCAACACTATGAAGCCATTGTTCTTGGTCCAGGACCGGGAAACCCGAATGTGTCCACCGACGTTGGTATCATGAACGATATCTGGAACCTCAAGGACTCCGAGCTCTTACCGGTTTTTGGTATCTGTCTCGGTTTCCAAAGCCTCTGTCTTCACCATGACGTTCCGATCGAGCAATTGCCATATCCGATTCATGGACAGATTCACAAGATCCGCACTACCTCAAAGGATATCTTTGAACTTATCCCGGCTGTTGATGTGACTCTTTATCACTCGCTATATGCCAACGCGGCTGCTTCAACTCCGGCGGACTTGGAATATTTGGCGTGGCTGTCTCTGGAAGATCTTCCCCATGCACGGATTCCCATGGGGGTCCGGCATTTGCATAAGCCCTTCTGGGGCGTCCAATTCCATCCCGAGTCCTGCAAATCCGAAGTCGACGCCTGCAAGACACTTCTACGGAACTGGTGGAAGAAGGCTCTTGCATTCAACAAGATCAATGGACGTGGCGGATGCGAGTCCCTTCCTGAGACGGTCATCAGCCCCCACACAGCTGCCAGCCCGTTCCCTGAATCTGCATATGAAATGCTGCAGTGGTGCAAATCCACTTCTTCCGTTTCAGCTTCTCGGTCTTTCAAACGACATGGCTTGACTGCAGAGGCGATTAGCGAACTCTTCAACAATCCAGGTTCCCCCACAGTTCTGTTCCAATCTAATGGGCGATACACGATCGCCTCTGTGCTCAGTCCGGACTCTTGGCGGTTCGAATATCATGTCGAGACACACAAGCTCCGAATGCTTCAGCTGCATGGTGACTACAAAGTGAATGAGAGTACTCTTGCCGTGGCTCAACTTTGGGACGCTTTACGTTACTTGATGGATATGAAGAAAATCCATTCTGGAAACCCTGATGTTCCTTTCTGGGGTGGATTTCTTGGCTATTTCTCCTACGAACTTGGACTTACATGTCTTCCTCATTCGGAGCGCCCGCAGGCATCGGCGTCAGCGAAGCCTAGCACTGAAAAGCCTTCATATAATAATTCTCCATTTGCGGACCCGCCTGACGTCAGTCTTTTGTGGTGCGAACGAAGTATCGTTTTGGACAACGTCACTGGCAACATCGTCATTCAGTCCACTCGTGAAGACGACAATACCCCTGCAGGATGGCTTGATGAAAACCTGCAACTGCTTCAGGACTTCTCAGTGGACAGCAATGACCCAACATTTGATCCATTGTTGAACTCGATCTTTCGCGAAGCCAAGATTCAATTCCCAGAGGAAGACAAGTACAAACGTCAGATTGAGTCTTGCAAGAAGGAACTCGAGGCTGGCGAATCTTACGAGCTGTGTCTGAGTTGTGAAACATCAATCACCTTGCCAGTTCCGGAAAAAGAGTCTGATCGTGTCGCGTTCCCTTGGAAACTCTTCAAGCGATTGATGAAATACAACCCCTCTGCATTCAGCGCCTTTGCAGACCTAGGAGATACCAAGATCGCCAGCAGCAGCCCAGAATGTTTTCTCAACTGGGACCGCGAGTCGACGCTAGAGATGAAGCCGATGAAAGGTACTGTTCGCAAATCGCCAGACATGACCTTCGAGAAAGCCTGCGAGATCCTAGGCTCGACCAAGGAGATGGCCGAGAACCTGATGATCGCGGATCTGATCCGTCATGATCTGTATGGTATCTGCGGGTCCGGCGGCGTTCATGTTGAAAAACTGCTGGAGGTTGCAGACTACGGGCGAGTCTACTCAATGATCACGCACGTCAAGGGAAAGATTCGCCCCAATCAACCCGGTTTCGCCGTCCGGGATATACCCCAGCTGAAGACCTCCAACATGGCCGTCCACGGCCTGACCACCTTGCAGCGGTGTCTACCCCCAGGCTCAATGACTGGTGCTCCAAAAGAGCGCTCTTGCATGCACCTGCGAACAATTGAGGATCGCAAGCGCGGTATCTACTCTGGCGCCATGGGTTTCCTGGACCTCGGTGGAGGCGGGAGCTTCTCAGTTGTGATCCGCTCGGCATTTACCTGTGCGTCTGGTCAAGACACTGAGAACAACCAGCAGACTTGGCGCATTGGTGCCGGCGGAGCTATCACCATGCTCAGCACGGCGGACGGAGAATGGGAAGAAATGCTCACCAAATTACGCGTGGTTTGCAATATCTTCACACCCCTCGATTCAAGTGAGAAGTCAGCTTAGAGTTCTTAGTTTGTCAGTTTGTCTACCTGGTTCCAGTCTCGGACTTGTCAATTGTCCAGATTGCATTATGATCCACGCTCTTGCTTTCAACATGCGGATCTACTTATATGGGATAGAGATGGATAGAGATTCGATTCAACATTCAGCGATGGAGTTTGGGTATATATTTGTATTTAACATTGCATATAAATTTCAACAAAGAAATATAGAGGCAGACATCAACTCTGTCTCTTATCGCTATAGAGCTCGGTGCAAACAACCCAAACAATCTTTTTATCCGCAGCTTCAACTTCCGAGCTTCCTTGCGCTTTCTCAAGTCTCCAAAAGTCTGTGACTTTTCATAAGTCTTATTACACCCAGTCTATCTATTGAAGCGCCCATTATGGCGGCCCAAGGCGCCCCAATGGAGGAGATAATGTGGCGGTCTCCCCCGCACGTCCAGATGATGGGAGGATTCCTCCATTCGAACAACAGTCAGTAGTAGCCCTCATAAACATAAACAGAAGTTAACGATCCTCTCAATCAGTCCTCTTCTACTTTGCCGAATCCCCTTTCTTTGACGCGACCTCCAACAATGCCTCCCTCGCCATCCAGGCCAACTACAACGAGGCCTTCCGCCATTTCGTCGAAACGCGCGAAGCTTTCGAAGGCCGATTGAAGACCATGCAGGGTCTGGAGTTTGTCGTCTCCTATGACCCCCTCCAAGCAGCGGCACAGACAGATACTAGTTTTGCCCACGAACCCTCCAACATCTGGGTAATCCGGAAACAGAACCGGCGAAAGAGGAGTGGATTTGAAGATGAAGTGTCCGTCATATCGACGTTCTTTGTTGTGGGCGACGCAATCTACATGGCTCCTTCAGTTGCCAGTGTTGTCGGAAACCGAATTGTATGTTCTGTTCTCTCTTTGAATTCACCACCAACCACAAGATCAGAATGGCATGCTAACATCTTTGTGTTTTTTCCCTACTTGCAGCTATCAGCCGTTACATCCCTATCACGATTTATGAAAACCGCGTCAACATTACCAACCTTCACCCCCTCCTACGGCCACACATACATGCCACCAGGAGCCCGCAGCAAAGAACCAAACCAACAATCCTCCCAACAAAGCAAAGAATCAACACCAATGCCCGATGCACCCAGCGACACACAATCAATCTCAAAAACAAACCTAGGCGTCTCAGCCACCACTCCAAACTACCAAGACACCCGCAGCCTAGCGGAATCATTCAACCTGCTAACACGCTACGGCGACGAATTCATGGACGAGAACCCCCTCGCCGGTGAACCAGGCTCGTTCATCTTATCACGAACTGGCGGCGAGGGTGGCGGTGCTGGTAAGCAGGCCGCGCCTAAAACCGGCGCAGGTCCTTCGTCGTTGAGTGTTCCTGCTTCTGGTCCGCCTGGGCGGGCGACTACGCCGCAGGTCCGTGTTGAGACGCCGAAGGGGTCTGATAAGGGTGCTTCGCCGCCTAGTTCCGGTGGAGATCGGGGGAAGAGGAAGAAGAGTCGGAATGTGGTTTGATTTGTTTTCTCGATACCCCCCTTTTCTTTTGGGATTCTGGGCGTTTTGTGCATTGCATTGTTTATTTCGGCCGGGGAAGCGCAGTATTCAGAAAGAACATTTGTGGATTGCGGAGCATTTTATTGAATTCTAGTGGAAACCAACACTTGCTTCTAGGTTATTCCATTTTAAAGCAATACTTAACCACCGAGCTAGCACGAGAAAGGCATTGAAGGCGATTTGTCTTCTCGATCAGAGGGGTACTTTTCTGACTGCAGCATCCAATCTTTTACCTTGGATGTATATAGTATAGTAAACAAGGCATCAGAATGCCGGCGAAATCTCATCACCCTTAACCATTTGAGTACTTTAGTATTTACAAATTCTTCAGAGTTCAATGAAGCACTTGACAGAATGGACTCACATGGAATGTCGTATGTGAAAGCACTCGTTAGCCATCAGCTATCTTCCAAATAGATTGTGTCCTCTCAAAACTAGTTAGGATGAACTATCCCTGTATCTATAGTCTTGCCCGGGCCTCAAAACGTAAAGTGTTCAATGCCACCAAGTACTGTAGTTAGTGTAGTTGAGGCTGAACCTTAAGTCTTAACTTATCGATAAGGTTCCCCTACTTTCGGCTGCTCTTCCAAGGTTTCTTGCTTCTCTTCTACTCATTCATCCTCTGTCAAAGACATTACGAGTTCCATATTCTTCTCTACTCTCAATCCTCACTTGAATTCCATAATGGCGGATTCAGAAACCAAGCCAGCTGTGGTCTGCGTGTTGTGAGTCAATGCCCCACCATCTCATCAGACACCCGCAACCTGGGCCTACCATTCTACCTTAGCCCAATATGAAACTTCCATGAGAACCTGATACAAACACATGATATACACCAAGAATCATGAAGCTAACAAACTTCCCAACGGGGAAACCAGCTGTGGCTCAGGATCCGGCAAGAACCCAATCCACATGGAAGCAGCACGAATCCTAGCCGAAGAGCTGCACAAGCACAAAGTGAAACTTGTCTACGGCGGCGGCACAACCGGCCTAATGGGCGAAGTAGCCCGCACCCTGGTCAAGCTCTCCGGCCCTCAAGCTGTGCACGGCATCATCCCTCGCGCGCTGGTGAAGGTAGCAACGGACAGCGGCATGCGCGAGCACCAGAACGGCAACACAGAGTCTGGCGGCAAGACAGCCGAGCGAGTCATCTCCGATTCCACTGAAGAGAATGGAATCCCCGAGTCCGAGTACGGCATGACCACTGTCGTTCCTGATATGCATACACGCAAGCGTTTGATGGCGACTAAGGTGCTGGAAGGTGGGCCTGGGTCTGGATTTGTTTCGCTGGCTGGTGGATTTGGGACTATTGAGGAGGTTATGGAGATGACTACCTGGAATCAGCTGGGAATTCATAAAGTTGGTGTTGTGTTGTTGAATATTAATGGGTATTGGGATGGGTTGTTGGCTTGGGTGCGTAATGCTGTGCAGGAGGGGTACATCTCTTCAGACAACGGGGGCATTTTGGCTGAGGCTAGGGACCCTGCGGAAGTCTTCCCTAAGTTGTTGGCTTATCGAGTCAGTCAGGGTCGGATGCGGTTGAACTGGGGACAGGAATGAGCAATTGTTATGGATGAGATGACTGGACGTGAATATACATAGACACTTGTCTTGTCTTTTCGGTTTTATTTCGGGGTTTGGACTGTCTTTGGCTGTTCAGAGGCTGGATATAAAGATACACAAGTAGATTTACTTCATTAGAAACAGCCTTACGAATTGATGATTGACATAACAGAGACCATTAACAGACAAAGCATAAGCAGATTTCATGTCTATGCATCATTAAACCAAATGAGACGATTATGAATCAACCTCCATGGACTCGCCCTCCCCACCAGCCTGCTCAGACTGCTCCAGCACCTCAAGCAGCGCGGCCGTATCCTGACCCTCGTACAGCTTGAAGCTCTCCTTCTTGCCATTAGTCACTCCTACAACGCCAACGGAAGTGTTATCCACCGTAAGCTCCTTATCCTGAGACAGAGTCTCCTTAAGAGCACGCAAACCGTGCTGAACAAGCTCATCACGACTGCAATCCGCAAACTTGTCCAAGTTCCTCTCCAGATACGTACGCGCCATCTGCGAGCGCGCACCAATAGCACAAGCAACCATCTCGTGGGTCAGACCCGAGGGCTGGAACTCGAACAGATGCGGTCCAGCCTCGTCAACACCGGCCACCAGGAGACCTACACCGTATGGCCGTTTCCCGTAGTGCTGGGTGTTGGTCTGCGCGCGGTCACCAATCTGGGCGACGATTCGGTCCAGGGGAATGGGCCGGCCGTAGGTCATCTTCGAGCCGAGGGATTGCTGCTTCATGAAGTTTGACAGGACGCGGGCGTCTGATGCGAGGCCGGCGATGGCGATCGCCATGTGCGAGTCGATCTCGATGATCTTCTTCTGGTATGAGGAGAGCTCTTCTGCGTTGCGCTGGTTGGGAATTCAAATGTTAATTTTCAGATTCGCTGGTCGTTTCTCGGTGGTGTTCTGCGAACCTTGAGTCCAACCAGCACGGCATGTGTCTTGTTCACCAATCCCACCACGACGGATCCTTGCTTTACGGCTTCCTGTGCATATTCTACCTGGAAGATACGGCCTTGTGGGGAGCTGTTATCGCCCGAGTTAGCATCTGATGGATCGGAGGAAGGTCGGGATAGTCTTACAAGGTGACGGCATCGTTGTCGTAATTGTTTCTGAACATGGCGGCGGTAGTGGCTGAGTGGATATAGAGATAGACCGAGGAGAGGGGTTCGAAAATCAAGGTAAACAGCAACACAAGAGCCCGAGGGATAAACCGGAGATGGAGAGGGAATGGGGGAGCTGGAGCAGGCAGTAAAGTGACGCGGTGTGAAGCATGAGCTGTTGTGGCCTGAGGCCACCACATCCAGTGACCTTCAGGCGCCAACGTCACTCATTCTCGAGCTCATCTCCAACTGGCGCCCTGTGACCGTCTCTCTCTACTCTCCTGCACTCGGCCAATGGGGCTGTGATTATCAGTCTACTCTTGATATCTTCCTTTGGTTTTATCCAGACCGTTCAACACCTCCTTTCACCTTACGTCTCATCAATCGGACTTCGGCGTCTCCGCAATCATGGCGGCTGGACTAAAGACCATCATTGCGCTTTCATTTGTACGTTGAGCTTGACAGCTTGTCGAGCGAATATTGACTTATTAACTCCTAACCAGGTTCTTGCCATTGGCTTCCTCCTCGTTATCCTCTCTTCCGCGCTATGGCATAAGTACTGGCCGCTGCTGGTCGTCGGCATCTATGTCGTTGCGCCCCTCCCCAACTGGATTTGCCAACGATGCGCAAACCCCGACGATTTCATGGATAGCTCGAGTAACTCTGCGATGGACTTTGGGCGATTCATGACTGGATTTTTGGTTCTGACTGGCATCGGTACGTATCTGTCAGCAATAGCCCCTCAAGAGGGGCATGTTGATTTTGATCAGTCTGATCCTGATATGGTCTATTACATGCACCTATATCTGCTGTGTTATTCTCTCTTTGGCCGGTTTGCTAACTGTCTCCAGCACTTCCCTTCGTCCTCGCTCACAGCGGTGCGATCGAGATACCCGCAATGATCATGTCCATTATCGGAGGCCTTTTGATCTACGGAACCATTATTAGCTTCTCAATGTTCTTCCAGGAACAGGAAGAGTTCTGATCGCAAACTGGGGTGCGGCGCCCTTGGACTACATGGACTGTATGGGCTATATTGTAGGCCAACTGACCCCGCGGGCTCTGACTTCATGATATCCGTCTTTCTCCATTATTTCTTTTGATTTCAGCGTATGCTTGATATGCTTTGTATGAGTGATCTGTATTTGGTCCGGGTGTCTAGCTTGAATGGCTGCGATGGCTCCCGTGACTCGATACTTGGCCGTGCTACTTTATGTGTACTATAACACAATGGATATAGAAACTTTCTGGCAAATTCGTAACGTTTGAATCAATTCTCTTCTCAGACAAAGGATTCTTCTCTTTTATCCGGCATGGTTTAACCATATCTGTACGCCACGTGACCCCGCGCGCGGATTTCAGCGCGTCTGAGAGATCGGAGATAACAGCACTGAGCAACATAACAGAACCAAATTATTCTTTCGACTATGATGAGCACATGAAAGCCCCTCCTGGATCCAGAGTACAACATGAATGTCTGGTCAGGATCTATCATAACCAATTCGGACTGCAAGTTGGAAGGTAAGCCACACGCGACTCGCAACATGCTCGCTTGCTGACCACATAACCAGGGATTCGTTTAATTGATCCAAACTCTTACTGGCATTCCGAACTATCAAAAGAATCTCAACTAAGCCTCCGAAGCTTTGTCAACCCAGCACTCATTCCACTCCATGCACGCGCAGGCCCGAACCTCGAACTACACACGAGCCATGCGGGGACGTCACAATGGCTCAAAGACAAGCTTACGGGCTCCATTTGGTTAAATGAGGAAGATCCAGCCCTTCAACAATCCCTGCAATGCCCAGTCGGCCTACTAGTCAGTGTTGACGGCAACACAAAAACTGGCGGCGCAGCCACAACAAACCTCCTAGTCTACGGCGTATTAGCCAGCGCAGCAGACACACGCCCACCTACACCACCACACTCCTCCCCCTCAGAGCTACCAGACCCAACAGTCACATCACGGAGGGTTCCATATGAACTGCGCATCTATGCCGCACCACTATCAACCTCGCGCCTCGCCCAGGCCCAAGCCTACCCATCCCCACCACCAAGCGCAGACGGCGAACACACCATACAAAATACCCGGCATGCCGAATTCCTCCCGGATATCAGCTCCCCAAGCCCAAAACGCAAACGGGTAGCTACCCTTTTCGAAGTCGCCGCACAGCACCACCGCCGCGTCCGCCAGCGAGGCGGCGAAGCCGTCTCACAACTAATGGCACCTTCGCGCCCTCTCTCCTCATCCCAGAACCTGCAGTCCTTGCGCATAAAGCGCGAGCCTGATGATGACCATCCCTCTCTCCCATCTCTTGATAGGATCGCACATGCGCGCCGTTCTCGGTCCGTGTCCATCGGCGCGAATCTACACCGTCCAGGTAGTGTGCGCGGCGCACGCGCAACAGCAGATCCGCAAAAGCGCGCACCAACCCCGAATCCGTTCTTGGACTCTAGCTCTGGATCTGGACCTGGACCTGGTTCTAGACCTGGATCTCGACGTGAAACACTACAATCACAACAACAACCATCCGCTCTGTCAACAGAAGAAAAACCAACCCCAATACCGGGCTCACCATCCAAAGATCCCGAAACCGTAATAGCAGAAAACAAAAACCTAATTACGCGCACGATATTGACCTGTATGCGTCTCTACGGCTTCCACCGCGCAAATAATACACGCACAGCATCAATGAGCAAACCACCCGGCGGAGCCGCAGATGCAGAAGTCGATGGTTCGGGTACGACACCAGCGCCTGAATCTTTGCGTGCTGAGACGCCTGCGCCGGGTGTTTCTGCTGATGATGATGAGTTCAAGGCTATGTATCATGCCACATATAAGGCTGCTGCTTTTGCGTTGAGGAGGTATTTGAAGACGGCGTTGGCTGGGTCTGGGCCGGGGCCGGTTATTTTGCAGAAGGAGAAGGCTATGACTTGTATTGATGAGTTATTGAGGCTTTTTTGTGAGGAGCATTGAGGTTTCCTTTCTTCTTGGGTTTATGATTTGATGAATGCATATACTGGTTTGGTGTTAGGGCTATGTTGGTTATGTTATGTCTGACTTGATTTGATGTTAGTTCGAGGGTATTGTTTTGAATGCATAGCTTGAAAGCATCCTAAATTTATTTGACAGTGTCTACTTTTGCTGTCTTCTATCTTTGCAATTCTGGCATACATCAGTGCGCCTTAAGTAATAAATCCGAATAAGCCATGTACTAGACACATCGTGAACCGACCCCAGGTACCAAGTAATGTGCAAGAGAAATGCAGAAATAAATTCAAGCTATGCGCCAATCCCAGCAGCCAAAGATGCGGATGCATACAAAATGTACCCGGCAAGTCAAAAAGTCATCACATCAGCAAAAGAAAATGAGTAGAATACAAAAAAGGAGGCTAGAGTAGGCTAGAGCTTATACCAAGCCAGCCAGATCACAGAGCAAGGTTGTAGGTGTAATCATCTTCAATGTTCTGCGAAACCCAAAGAACAATAGAACTAGAAACAAGAGCAGTCAGTATGCGCCACAAGACATAGATACACACGGCACAGAGGGTTAAGGGTACACAACATACCTGAGCATAACCAAACCATTCGCAACAACATTCGCAATACCGAAGTAAAGCGTCTGAATCGGATAATCCTTAATCAAATACTTGAGAACCATAACCGTCTACAAGCACAGAAAACCAATCAGCTTCACTCTCATCCGAATATCCCAATCTCGATTTCGAACATATACATACCACACTACCAGCAAGACCACCAGCCAGCAACGCAAAGCCCAAGAAGAGAACAAAGCGCGCCTTCCAAGCGACCCCACTACCACTATAACTGAAGCTATCAGCCTGCAGCCGTGACTTCTCAATCGAGTTGATAACCAGCATGCCCAGTGCGGAGCAAATACCGGGGATCCAGTCGACGAATTTGATGTGCACGTCTGACCCGTTGCGGGGGCTACGCGAGAATGAGGCGACGTCGATTAGGAAAAAGAACCCTGCTGCGAACTGGGGGAGGGGTGGGCTGTTAGCTTTGAATTTGGATTTGCTTTGATTGGGGTAAATGGATTTGGGGTTGGCTTGAATTGGAGGGACTAAAGGGATGGATGTCTGCGAAGCTCCAATCTCTATTTCAAGGCTGTTTTTCTTGGGGCTGGAATGGGAGCTTGAAGTCGTATCTGGAGTGTGGAGGTGGAGGTGGTGGTGGATCGTGCATTGAGGACTCACCAGTGCGCCGGAGACGTAGACGCCGCCATTGCGGACGGCTGAGTTGTTAAGCCATTCTGGCTTGGAGAAGCGGAAGAGGCGGTTGTTAGAGACGTCCATGGTTGGTGTTGGGGGGAGGTTTGAGGGGATGAGCTGGTGAGAGCTGCAGTCTGATGACGATGGACGTCGGAGAAATGTTATACCGAGATATATGATGTTTGACTACGGAGTATGGAATAGGCAGACAAGACAAATACACCTTGGACCTCGGGAATATTGTGGTTTCGGTTTATTGTTTCATGCTCTAGTCTAGATCTATGATTTAGTTACTTTGACTATTCATGGACTCGTCATCAGAGGCCATACTACAAAATATGCCAAGTTAGGCAGCGAAGTATACAGCGTTATTCCCATGGATGATTTTAGGTATCAACTTTTAACATTAAACGTCGAAATTCGTAATTGCATAATGTAAATAGTAGGGGCAGTGTCCCAGGTATGTAAACGTCCATATGTGCACGCCAAGCACCAGGATTGCGTATATCGTCAAACACAACCCAAGGCAGCCAACACCACCACGGCCGAACCATTTCGGGCATCAGCACAGGTGATCAGTAACACACAGGCATCGATTGTGAGATCTAGTTCGCGTCATCATCACATTGCACAGCGCAGTCACGGCCGGTTGAGTTGCCGATCGCACTTCCAGCGCCAATCCCACCGGCAGATAGAGTATCTGTGCGAGGGACGTGCTTCGTTTATGGCAGCTATGTTGCTGCCTCTATTTTGGGTATCCAGTTCTCAACTCATCCAGTACAAGCGAAAACTTTTCATGCCGAGGCGTCGACGGGGTGAGCCCGCAGCTTGTCAAGGATGGCGTCCACGTCGTCCATGTTACTGGCGTCCTTCTTGTCGGTGGGGTATCCCTCGGGTAGACTCTTAAGTAGCTCATTCATGGCGGGCTGGTAGTTGCGGGTTGCGGAGGAGAGGGCGTAGATGGCCTTCTTGCGCGCGGCGGGATCGGAGTCAGTTGTGGCGACTGTGACGAGATCGGGGATGGCATTCAGCAGAACGAGCTGTTGCACATGTTAGCGCAATCCTATCGCATATAGAACGAGTGATATATACCTTATCCTGGGCCTTCTCGTTGTTCTGCACGGCAGTTCCGATACACCAAGCGGCCATGCGTCTCAGATCGGCCTCGTCGTGCTTGAGCAACTGCACCAGCGGGGTCCACAGACCCAGTGGCTCGAGGTTGTTCGCGTTGTCAATGCCCTCAATCAATTGCTCGAAGTTGTCCATGGCGATCAACTTGTTCTCCATATCTGCTTCGTCGGAGTGCACCACTTCCATGGCGGCGCGCATGAGATCGGCCTCGGATGGGCCGCCGAATAGCGTCCTGACCATATCCGGGGTGAGGCCCTTTGCGGCTTCTGGGGCACTGGGGGTACCGCTCTCGGCACCCTCGGAGACCTGGGAGTTGGAGACACTCCATTTGAGGAGCTTGTTCATCTGGGGGTCCATGGCCACGGTGTTGGCGGGGTAGAAGGGTTGATGGAGGGTTGGTGATCTCGGAGAAGGATATCTCGTGGGTTATATGCGAACAGGGTATATCTATAGACGATCGCAAAGCAATTGAATTATATGACAGAAACACCGACTGATCTCGTCTGATAGAAGTATTTCACGGAAAAAAAGACCGCTGACATAATCTGACGTGGGTGATTCGTGCGGCGACTAGCGGCTTCCGTCACGTGCGCCGCCACTCACCGATGTTCGACACGTTGGCCAGTAACATGGGGGAGGTTAAGGCAAATGGCGGTAAATACGATAACTGTTGATCCACCTGGGCAGTCCAGTCCCCTTGTCTTATACAGCAAGAAACCTGAACTTGGCCCCCATATGTGCCGTGTCCAGAACACCCAATGTGTACCCCAAGAGAGCTCAAGTCTGGTTCGGAGGGGTGTTGGGGTTCCTATACTTAGAAAGTGGAAGCCTGCGCCACATGCGTAGACACATTCCGGAAGAAAAGGGAGTGAGGGAGGCAAGGGAGGAATCCATCAGCCTGCCCAGGTGAACAATGTCTGTTGCCTGTGTTGCCTGAGTAGTGTAGTGTGCTTACTCTGTTGTATAGTGCCCAGGTGGCTATCCAGAGGTACGTGTTCCCCGTGTCCACCTAGGCAGGGCTTGGAGGTATTCACCTCAACGTGCAACATACAATGTACGCAATCATAATGTAGTTCATTCTAGACAAAAGAATAAAGAACAGTTCTGCCTAAGATATCAAAGATATAAAGATAAACGTTGAAGTCGGAGGGGAAGGAACGCCTCAGGCAGCGCACAATCCCAGCCATCACAAACCCCTCTCCACTTCTCTCGCTCTCTTCCTTCTTCCCTCCTCCCCTAATCTCCCCCCCATCTCTATACTCCTCTTTAACATCCATCTTTCTTTTCTTCATTCTCTTTTCAATCCGTCACAATGGAAGGTATGTAGTGTTCATCCGTTCAAGGCCAGCTCAACTTGGTCAGCTTATTCCTAGCTGTCAACCCACCCCCCTGTTGGCTAGAACTTGAATTGCGAATGGAGACTAATACACTGTCATTACAGAGGAAGTTGCTGCTCTCGTCATCGACAATGGGTATGTGATATGATTCTACCCCGGAGCCCATGCTATCTAGGCCTCGTGTGTGTTGGGTTGGGGGTCACTCGGTCGCGGTCCGGTCCACGTTGCCACATCGCCCCCTAATCGGCCACGACGGCAGAATGGCTCCCAGCTCAATGACCTCCCAACGCCCGCTACACATCTTCAGCTGGGCTCCAAAGATCATGAGGAATATCATACTGACGAATTGCGCTTTAGTTCGGGTATGTGTAAGGCCGGTTTCGCCGGTGACGACGCACCTCGAGCTGTCTTCCGTAAGTCCAACCCCACAGAACTGGTTCCCCCCTCCAAAGGCCGTCATCCCGCCAACCGCCAACCCTTGCGTCGGACGACCCCTCCTTTGGCTTGGGGATGAATTTTTGGCGGAATTGAAATGACTGACAAATTTGATTAGCCTCTATTGTCGGTCGTCCCCGTCACCATGGGTAAATCATCCCCCCTTTTGAATTTTTTAGCGCGGTGTTCATACACTGCGCCAAGCAAGTTTGACCCGAAAAAGATGAAATACTGACATGGGCGCAGTATCATGATTGGTATGGGTCAGAAGGACTCCTACGTGGGTGATGAGGCACAGTCCAAGCGTGGTATCCTCACGCTCCGTTACCCCATTGAGCACGGTGTTGTCACCAACTGGGACGACATGGAGAAGATCTGGCACCACACCTTCTACAACGAGCTCCGTGTTGCCCCCGAAGAGCACCCCATCCTCTTGACTGAAGCTCCCATCAACCCCAAGTCCAACCGTGAGAAGATGACCCAGATCGTGTTCGAGACCTTCAACGCCCCCGCCTTCTACGTCTCCATCCAGGCCGTTCTGTCCCTGTACGCCTCCGGTCGTACCACTGGTATCGTTCTCGACTCCGGTGATGGTGTTACCCACGTTGTCCCCATCTACGAGGGTTTCTCTCTCCCCCACGCTATCTCGCGTGTCGACATGGCTGGCCGTGACTTGACCGACTACCTGATGAAGATCCTCGCTGAGCGTGGTTACACTTTCTCCACCACCGCCGAGCGTGAAATTGTCCGTGATATCAAGGAGAAGCTCTGCTACGTCGCCCTCGACTTCGAGCAGGAGATCCAGACCGCTTCTCAGAGCTCCAGCCTCGAGAAGTCTTACGAGCTTCCCGATGGACAGGTCATCACTATTGGCAACGAGCGCTTCCGTGCTCCTGAGGCTCTCTTCCAGCCTAACGTCCTTGGTCTTGAGTCTGGTGGTATCCACGTCACCACCTTCAACTCCATCATGAAGTGTGATGTTGATGTCCGTAAGGACCTGTACGGCAACATTGTCATGGTAAGAAACCCCAAGAGCGATGCACAAGAATTCGACTAACACATTCTAGTCTGGTGGTACCACTATGTACCCCGGTATCTCCGACCGTATGCAGAAGGAGATCACTGCTCTTGCTCCTTCTTCCATGAAGGTCAAGATCATTGCTCCCCCCGAGCGCAAGTACTCCGTCTGGATCGGTGGTTCCATTCTGGCCTCCCTGTCCACCTTCCAGCAGATGTGGATCTCCAAGCAGGAGTACGACGAGTCCGGTCCTTCGATCGTTCACCGCAAGTGCTTCTAAGCTCGTTAGCCTTACTCGTCTTCGCTCGTACTTTCCTGGTGTATCAAAAAGCAGGATGGTGGCACTGGTGGATTGCAAGCGTTGTTGGACTCGCATTATCAAGCGAATAGCCTGAAAATGGAACCCTGATTTTAGTGGAATAGAGTCGGTCTTTTCTTTTTTTTTATCTTACCTTACTCTCTATCCATCCATCCTCTTTTCTCTTTTTTACTTTGTTCCTTTTTCAGTCGCAGTCGTGAGTCTGGGTCCTGGTGCTCCTCGGGTCCTTGGCGGCATGTATGTGTAGGTGAGGATGTACAGGAGTTGGCTCAGGTCGCGTTCTCTGTCTCAGTTTGGATTGTTCTAGCCGGTGAATTTCCGTGTCTTTGTCGTTCATATCTCGACCAAATTGCTCTTCAACTATGAATATGTAGTCTCTTGGCTTGTAACATTCGTAACTTTATTGTTTTCATCGATTCATGATTACTGCTACTGGGCTCTGGGACTCGAGGTGTTAGTCCTGCTCGGTGTAGTCCTGTTCCTGATATGAGATGATAGAATGAATGGCTATTGAATCACTATGCTTCAGTCTTAACATGTAATTTGAGTCTACAATATCCAGAGGTTCAGCAAGTCATTCATATCAAACGGTGTATATCATTTCCTAATACAGGAATCGGCATCAGTCATATCAGGACTCATCCAACAGCCCTATTTATTTTGTATCCCTCACAGAAAGAAGAGACATACGAAAAAGAAACATCGAACCAGATAAAAGTCAAACAGTAAAGAAGAAAAAGAATCTAAGATATAGACGTAAAACCAAGTAACCCATTTTCATCATCCATCCCATATCAACATCAAATCAAATCAAATATATCGAAGATGTAACCATATCCAACTAGTCCAAATCCAACTAAGCAGACCAAGACTCAAGTCCAGACAGGACAGTTCCCTCCTCGCCCTCAGCACGAGCACGCAGCTCACCAACACGGTAAACAGTCTCACCAGCCTTCTCAAAGGTAGCCCGGATAGCAGCCTCCTCAGACGGTTCAACGGCAATAATCATACCAACACCACAGTTGAAGGCACGAGCCATCTCCTCAGAAGAGACATTACCAGCACGCTGAAGCCATTGGAAAACAGAAGGCTGAGCCCAAGCACTGACATCAACAGCCGCAGTAAGCGTAGCAGGCAACATGCGCGGGATGTTCTCCGTCAAACCGCCACCGGTGATATGGGCAAGACCCTTAATGGCGGTGCCGTGAGCGGACAGCGCGGCCAGGATGGACTTGACGTAGATCCGGGTAGGGGTGAGCAAGGCCCGGCCGAGCGAGACTCCATCCTCGAGACCGGGCATGGAGAAGGGGGCGGCATCGGTGAACTGGAGACCGGCGCGGTCGACGATCTTCCGCACGAGCGAGTATCCGTTCGAGTGTGGGCCTGACGAGGCGAGCGCGAGCAGGACATCGCCTGAGCGCATGGAGTCCGTGTGCGGGAGAATTTTGCGGGCGTTGTCGCCGACGGTGTTGATGGCGCCGACGGCGGCACCGACTGCGTCGTAGGAGTCGTCGACGAAGAGGCCGGGCATTTCGGCGGTTTCGCCGCCGATTAGGGCGCAGCCGGCTTGGACGCAGCCTTCAGCAACACCGGTGACGAAGGCAGTTGCTGTTGGGACGTCGAGGTGGCCGCAGGAGTAGCAGTCCAGGAAGAAGAGGGGCTCGGCGCCTTGGACGACGAGGTCGTTGACGTTCATGGCGACGAGGTCGATGCCGACTGTGTCGTGGATGCCGACTGAGTGGGCGATCTTGAGCTTGGTGCCGACGCCGTCAATGGCGCCGATCAGCGTCGGCGAGAGTGGGTGGTAGGCGGAGTTTGCGGCGGGGAGGGAGAAGAGGCCGCCGAAACCGCCGATGACGGCGTCGGTGCCTGGGCGCTTGGTGCGGGAGACGGAGGCCTTGATGCGGTTGACGAGCTCGTTGCCGGCGTCGATGGAGACACCTGCTGCGGCGTAGGTGAGGGAGTTGTTAGCTGTTTGGCGGAAGGCCCGATGGGCAATGTCCTTGCGGTAGAACATGTCTTCGAAGCTGATGGTTTTGATGCCCTCGTAGGACTTGGCAACGGCCTCTTCGAGGGTGGAGGCTGTGGCGGTTGAGGCGATCACACGGCCACCGTTGGTTTGGAGCTCGCCGTTGGAGATGGTGGTGCCGGCGTGGAAGATGAGGGTTCCCTCAGGCTCGGGGGCCAGGGTAATCTTCTTGCCCTTGGCGTAGGCGTTGGGGTAGCCGCCGGCCACGCCGATGACTGTGGTGGAGAAGTTGGGCTCGACCTTGATCGAGACACCGTCGAGCCAATGCTCAGCACAGGCGACCATGATCTGGGCCAGATCGGTGTCCTTGCTCAGCAGGGGGAGCAGGGTCTGGGTCTCGGGGTCACCACCGCGGACGTTGTACTCGAGGACCTTGGGTCCGTTCTTGGTCATCATAAGACCGGTGAACAGGATACCGACGAAGGGGAAGCCTGGACATGTAGTTAGCAAACTTGTTCAATACGGGTATGTATAGTTGAACGTACCATCCTTGCGCATTCCGTCAACGGAAGGCTGGACAATGGTCCGGTCAATCTCCTCCATAACCTCCTTGGGGGCAATGCGAGTAGGAGCATAGCAGCCCATACCACCAGTGTTGGGACCCTTGTCACCATCGAAGATGCGCTTGTGGTCCTGGGCTGGGGGAAGTGAGCGGATGGTGTAGCCGTCACTGAAAGTGAGGATGCTCAGCTCATCACCCTCCAAGTACTCTTCAATGACAACCTCGTCGCCAGCCTTGCCGAACTGGTGGTCCAGCATCATCTCCTTCAGAGCCTGGTGGGCCTCCTCCTTGGTGGTGGGGATGATCACACCCTTACCACCGGCCAGACCATCGGCCTTAATGACCACATTGTGGGACACGGAGTCGAGGTAGCGGCGTGCGGACTCGTAGTCGGAGAAGTTGCCAAACTGAGCGGTAGGGATCTGGTGGCGCTGCATGAAGTCTTTGGAGAAGGTCTTGGAGCCTTCCATGCGAGCGGCGGCCTTGGAGGGACCGAAGCAGCGGATACCGACTGTAAGAGGATATGTTAGCATATCCAGACACGACCAATTGTACTTTTTACCCGAAAAAGCTGTCTCACAACTTACCAGCCTGGAAGTAGCCCTGGATGCCATCCACCAGAGGGGCCTCCGGGCCGGGAACCACGAGGTTCACACCGTTCTTCTGGGCGAAGGCCACGAGGCCAGGGTAGTCATCACCCTTGACATTGGCGTTGGTGATCTTGCTGTTGGCACCCAGACCAGTGCCGCCGTTTCCAGGAGCGACGTAGATGATGTCGACCAGCGGGGACTCGCTCAGCTTCCAGGCGAAAGCGTGCTCACGGCCGCCATTGCCGACGATGAGAACGCGCAATTGTTCGGAAGCCATTGTTGAGAAGCAGTGTCTCGAGTGACTGGATATGTGTTAGCGGCGATTGGTATTGGCAATTGGCAATTGGCAACTGGCAACTGTGGGAAACCTCCGCGGGGTATGCAGTGCCCCTCCAAGAAAATTGAGTCACAGGGAGGGGCACTGTGGAAATGACATGAATAGCCATTGGGAATTGGGAATAGAACTAGGAAGACACTGAAATCACATACCTCACTGAGACCTGAGAAGCACACTGGGGGTGTCGAATGTGAAGTCAAAGTTGTAACTTTTTTTTTTCCTCCGGCGGCGCGTTTCTCCGACCCCAGAATTGCGGCGATTTCGGCGAACAGTCGTTCTTTGTATTGTACAGAATATAGTAAATTTGTATAATTTATATATTTATGTACAGTATTTCTATGTCTATATGTCTATATCAGTCTGCTATTTGCATGCAATACTGTTTTATAAGATTGGAATATAGGAAAGATAGCAGGTTCTAGTATAAATTAGTAGTTAATATTGTATAGTCTAATCCTAACACACAAGTCACAGTCTATTTACAGTATAGGCACTTCTAGCACTTCTACTAAGACATCTAATCCATAGAAATCTCGAATATTCTATGGACAAATTCTTCTCCAATCTTGCACTCTTGACACCTCGGGAATAAGGCATAAAAGCGGTGTCTACTGACAGAAAAAAGGCCAGTGGCTCGAAGTCTGGGGTGTCTGCGATTGTTCTCCTGGTTGCATTTGGGGATCTATATATCCTCTCGTCTTCATTCTGACCATCTGAATGTTTCGCGTCTCGTTGCGGTCTGCTTCAGACCCTTTGCGTGGACATGTTTGCATCCCATATGTAGCTCGCAGGTCCGCGCCGGCCAACTTGCGCCAGTTTTATCGGACGTCTACACCCTTGTCCCAATCTAGCCCTCAAGAACACGGGTCAGTCGACGCGTCAACTGAGGCTGTGTCGCCTCCAAGCGATCAATCACCTCTGGTATGTCTCCCGTTTCAATCCTCGCAAATACATCATGACTGACTGTACAGCAGAATTCCTCCACAAGATCGGAGCCCAACCTAAAACTACAACAAACCAAGCGAGTGAAGGAGAAAAGAAAAGTCAATCGAGAGCCGGCCACCCTCCCCCTCAGCACAACGAGACCCTTTTCAAAACTCAACCAACGACAAAGAAAACGATTTAAAGAGCTCAACCCAGATTTTGTACCGCCACAGCGAGATGCTGCTATCGCGAAGGCAAAAAGAGAGAAAGCAGCCATTGCCTTAGGGAAAACTGAGGACAAAGGAAAGCATGTTTTGGATTGGATACCACAACCGCAGGCGGATCAAGTCGAATCCCAACCAGACCAGGCGACGCAACCCGCCGAATCAAACGATGCCCCAGTGACTGGTTCAACACAGGCGTCACCTAGTAAGCCGGCGAGAAGCAACACGCTTAACTTGACCTCCAACAGCAACGTGGTGAAGGAAATCCTGCGAGCAGGTCGCCAGGGGCGAGAAATCAACACCGCGGGTCAGGATGAGAAGAACTTGGCTGAGAACCAGGGCAAGGAACGGGAAACATTGACGCATATTGCCAAACACGTTCTCAGCAAGGACCGCGGGTCTCTTACATCAACAGCGTTGCAATTGACTGGTGAGCTTTTGCCTTCACGCTGTTACCTAGGTGCTAGCTAACATTTTTGATCAGCATTGGATTACCCTATGGCCCCTGTCCCAGGTGTTTCCTTTGGCCTTGACCGTGTACTTTTTAAGTAAGTTGAACAGCCAACCATCTACAAGCTGATACTGATACAAGATAGCCCTGGTGTCTACCATCTTCGCGATCCTCGGTCTCGTGTCTACAATTTTGACCCCTACTTGGGCGATATCATGCCTGTAACAGAATTCGACTTCAATACTCTTAAGCCATACGTTACCTCTTCTAAGGATACTATTCTCTGCGAAATGGCCCAGAAGAACCAGAGGAAATACTACGGGTCTTCATCGAGCATGACCTCGGCCCTTTCTCATTTCCATTATCTTCTGTCCGCGTGGAGATCTATCGATACTCGCAACGTGTCTCAGGGCTTCCCAGAGAAATTACGCAGCTTCACTCGCCTTCTCCGTGCACCGACTGCCATGTTTGTTCATTACAAAGAGAAAGAGGATGTTTACGCAATTGACGCCGACAAAGAATTTGACTCGGCCAACATTCTCATGAACCTCGGAAAGTCAATGGAGAAGCTACTCACGCTACCAAAGGAGCAATTTGAGCGCTACCGCCGGTCCAGTGCCAACAAGATCACCCCCGAGGAAGAAGAAGCTATTCCTGAATCTTACCACTACACCACCATGGGCAAATTCCTCATGCGATCCCAGCTGGATGCCTATGATCCTCGACTGCCAGGGACTGGCATGTACGACCTCAAAACCCGTGCTGTCATTTCCATCCGCATGGACGCCTCAAACCACGAGAACGGAATCGGTTATGAGCTCAAGGGTCGTTTCGGCACGTGGGAGTCCTACGAACGCGAATACTTCGATATGATGCGTGCTGCTTTCCTCAAGTACTCCCTACAGGTGCGCGTTGGCCGTATGGATGGAATCTTCGTGGCTTACCACAACATCGAGCGTATCTTCGGATTCCAATACGTCAGCCTGCCAGAAATGGACCAGTGCCTGCATGGACAGACCGACACCACGCTTGGTGATTCCGAATTCAAGATCAGTCTGGCATTGTGGGAGAAGATCATGGACAAAGCCACCGCCAAGTTCCCCAAGCAGTCCCTGCGCTTCCACTTCGAAACCCGCGAGGCCGTGAACCCCTTCATGTACATTTTCGCCCAGCCCGTCACGAACGAGCAAATCCACGCCATTCAGACAAGGAACTCAGCCGAGATCGAAACCCTTCAAAATAAACTCTTGGGCCTCGAGACCCTAGAATCCAGAGTCCAGGAACCCGGCGAGAACCAGACAACTCCCAGCGCTGAAGCCGGGTCCGCAGAGACAACCGGATCCACCGCCGACGAATACGACCCGAACCTTTTGGCCATGACTCTCCTAACCAAGAACTACGTTAATGGCGAATTAGTCGAACGCCCCACCGGCCTCTCAAAGAAGGACACCTGGACCGTCGAATACGAGATCAACGAGCTGAACCCGAAACAGGGCAACGCCATTCTGCAAATGTGCAAGACCCGTCGCCGCAACGTCTTCGAGAAGGGCGATGAGGAGGATGTCAATACTCAGAATGACGAGTTCCTTCAGCGTTTGCGGAACATCAGTGAGCAGGGACGCGTGTTCCGTGCGAGGGAAAATGAGAGAGATCGGAGAAACGGCATTGTTGTCTACTCTGATCCCATTTCTCGGGATTGAGAGTTGAGTTGGGTTGGAGGTTGCAGCCTTCTTGTAAAGTAATAGATTATCTCCTGCCTGCAGTTTCCTTGTGTTTATTATACATATTGTTAAACATACATTCGGGCGTTTTTGGAAGCATTTCAGTTGACTTAGTATTTTGTGCTTTTTGTTTAGACTCTGCCTGTAGGTTGTTGCATGAGTTCGCGGGTATACAGTAATTCTAACTTATCTTTACAGTTGAACATGTTACGTAGTCAGCAAACGCAGATATGTCAATCAACGTGAGGAACGTCAGATATCATCTTGAACTATTTTGGGAAACCATTAAAGCTATTTCGGTCATTCCTTTACGTCTTTCGAATAGATAACAGATAAATCCAAACCATTCCTTCCACGACGTAGTATCTATCATATTTATCTTCCAACAATAGCAATATCAACCATACCAAACTCAATCCACAGCAATCATAAACCTCAACAAATCCTTCTCCTGAATCTCAGCAAATCTCGCCTCAAGCTCCTTCACATCCCATTTACAAGAAAGGAAACGACCATTCAAAGCCTCCCTCTGCTCCCCTCCAGGCCTAGTAAGCCAAACACAAAAAGCACCAACCAAATCGGGACTATCAGTCAACACTATAGATATACAAAGTCAGCAACATATTCAAATAACGTGAAGGAAAACAAGAAAAGGAACTTACAGTGCATAAACTCCTCAGGCATACACTTAGAAAATTCACTCTTCAAACCACCAGGATGAACACTAGCACAAAACACCCCCCGGCCAGCATACTGCTCATAAACCATCTCAACAAGTCTCGCCTGAGCAGCTTTACTCACACAATAATGAGCATGGCCCCCAAACCCAGCAACAGTCGGCGCAGCCATTGAACAAATCGCAATGAAACTACCACCCCCATTCCCAGTATCATCCCCAGTTTCATCCCTCACCAGCATCGGCAACAAATAATGCGCGGCATGGAACGTCCCAAGGGTATTAACCTCAAAGGCCAATTTGAACCAATCAGGCTCTTCAACCGTTACATCCATAACCATCGGACCGGAGAATCCAGAGTTAACGAGAACGACATCAAGCCGGGAGTTGAATTCGCGTGTAACTGTGCGTGCCAGTTCCTGGACGGCTGAACTAGATGTAATATCACATTCGACGACGACGATCTTGATATTTGGGTTTATGTGTCGAAGTTCGGTGGCTGTTTCTTCTAGGGCTGGTTTTGTTCGTGCTGCGAGGATTATTCCTGAGGCGCCTGCTGTAGTGTAGGCTTTTGCTAGGCCTGTTCCTGCTGCGCCATGGCCGCCAAGGATGCAGACTGTGTAGTTGTTTGGGAGGGGGGATGTTGAAGGGTTTAGTTCTGGGTATGGGGTTTTGTGGAGGGTTTGTGTGAATTGGCGGCAGTTTTGGGCGTTGAGTTGGCTTTTTGTAGGCATTTTTATGGGTTGTAGATTGAAGTGAGGATAGGATGGAGATGAGGATTATTATGTCTTAAGTGGGTGGTGGTTAATGGATAAGTTATAGCTTGAGGTGCTGTTACATTGCGTTGTATCTATAGATGTAGTCGGACTTACTCGGACTTAGCTGGGCGGATTTAGGCTGGACTTAACCCCAGTGGTCATCTCGGTCTATCGTTGTGTATTCGTTCTTCCTTTTACATGTGCACATCTACAAATTAGTGACGAGAAGATCTACAGTAAGAGAAAAGTCCAAGCACAAAAACGCCATGAATTGATTGACAAGTCCCTCCCCAGCGGACATACATAAACATTAACTAGCATGATGCAGGACATAAGCGCCAAGAATGAGTTGAGGAAGTAGAAGAAGTAGCAAGCAGCAAGCAGCAAACAGCAAACAGCAAAATGAGGATATTGATATATCCGTAAGAAGTAAAAGCAAGTCCCAAAATCCAACTGTAATGGGGAAGGAAATGGTAGGGCGAGGATATCGATGATATTTAGAAGTGAAAAAAAGCTTGCAAAATGGATGAACGGAAACGCCTGAATCAAGACAGGGTATGAACGCCAGGGGTATCGGAGCCTCCTGGCCGTGTGAGAATGGATCCACAGGGAAAAGAAAAAAATGGAAAAGAAAAGAGGAGAAGTATAGGTATGAACATGAAACCCGGGGTCGTATATATGAATCCCAGGCGGTAAAGCCAGGCTTCGTGTTGAGGGGAGGAGTTATGTACAAGGGAGAGGTGAAAGTGATGGTGTAGAGAAGATAGTGTCCGGCTATTGCAGCTCTTGCAAGTCAAGCTTGGGAGGAGTCCACTCCAGCTGTGGTGGCTTCTCGTTCGAGACGCACACAGGCGCGGGTGATGGACGCGCTGCGTCTGCTCGGCGACGTTCACGTTCTCTCAATGCGGTCCCGCTGAGGAAGCCCCTCAGTGTGGATGAGGCCATGCCGTAGGCGCTGCGGGCGCTGCCTGTACCTGTGGATACGGTACTGGATGAGCTGCGTGTGCTGCGGATACTGCTTGGTTTCTGGACCGTTGATGGTACGGCTGGGACAGGGAGAGCGAGGCGGGAGGATGGGGTGGAGCCGTAGTCGAATGGGACGGCACGGGCAGTGTGAGGGCGGACTTTGGAGGGTGGCTTTGGAGTAGTAGCGTTGGATTCGATACTGTGCATGGATTGGAGGGAGGATGTTGTTGTGAGCTGGGAGAGAGCTGGGGATTCATCGGGTGGAGACGGGCGGATTTCATCTGCTGAGATGGCGACGTCGAATTTGAGATTGTCCAGCATTGTGCCAAGGCTCGCTGCTGTTGCGGGTCGTCCGTCGCTGGCGGAGTCATCTAGTTCGGCGTCTTCGATTCCGTGGGCAAAGTTGTAGTTGCGTAGGAGATATCGACGAAGGCGGGCGACTTCCATGTCCCATCTTTGGTTCAGCGATTCCAGAACAAGCTCCACGTTGTGATTGGCGAATGGCGAAGCTTCCAGTGCGGATGCAACACTTGGCGGTGGTGCCTTGCTCAGCCGATGTCCGTGCGATTGTCCAACGCTCATCGCTGCATACAGAGATCGACGGATCGAGTTCGCCGTGGAAGTTTGAGCGCTGGCGCTAACGTCCCATCGAACATTGTCGACCTCGCGGCGCACCTTCTCGAGGGACTGGAATCGGTCTCGGTCCATACAGGAGAGGGTAAGAAGGGCACGGTTGCACTGTAGACCATTGACCAACACCGTGAAGGATTGGAGATTGATGTCGTTATTCTCACAATGTACTTCGCGCAGAAAATCATTCTCCTCCAAGACAGACGCCAGAGTATTCGCGCCTTGTAGACCAAGTTTCTGATGTTCGATCCTCAAAACCTTCAGCGACTTGTTCTTCTTAAGACCGGTCAACGCAAGGTTAAGTCCGATGCCGAAGCGTGCAACATCAAGATGCGCGTTGTCTCCACTGATATCCAAAGCCTCGAGCGTCTCATTCTCCTCAAACATCAACTGCAGCGAGCGACAGGTCTCAGGACTAGCATCGTACGGAAGCGAAGCCTTCGAAATATCCAAGAATTGAAGCGTGCGGTTCTTCCGAAGCGACTCGACCAGCTCGCGGAAATGATCTTCTTTCTTGAAATCAATCATCCGCATGGACACATGCGATGGAGTCTTATTCTTTGCAATCGCATTGAAAATGAACGAGCATCCATCGTCGAGGCGGTTCTCATTGACATGCAAATGCAGGCTGCGTGCACCGTCTACCGACATCGAGTGCATGAACATAGCCACATCCTCACCTGTCAAACCACACTGATCAAGTCGAAGCACACGAAGATTCCGGGACCGATCACTAGCCAGATAAGTAGCAATAGCATCAACGGTCTCGCGGTTGACAGCCGTCCGACTAAGAGCCAGCTCCTCAAGTCGCCAGTTGAACAGCATCTCAGCTGTGATTAGCGGCTCGGTGCCGGAAGTCCGTGAAATGCGAGACAAGTTGATTTTGCGGATTTGGCCAAAATACCCAATATACTGCTGGAGCACATCGGGGTTCAACCGACCCTGCACACCTGAAATGTTGATTGCCTCAAGTGTTGATTCTTGCGCAACAATCGTCGACAAAAGAAGATCAAGGTCATGCACGGATAATCCGCAGTCCCCAACCTCCAAAGCTCGCAGGTGACTGCGTCTCTGTGACGCGGCATCGACCAGATAGTCCAGATCTGACTCACCGAGCTTGATACCGTTGAGCACAACCCAGTCCACGCTGGTCAATTCTCGGCGGCAGACAGGGAAAATAGCTTCTGGAATGCCACATCCGGGATCCCGGGTGCCTTTCTCCAAAGTCGGCGTTGGCGTGCGTGTAAGACAGTACGAAAAGTCGAGTCGGCGCAGCCATTTACTCTTCAATGCCAGAGCGCGCACTTCCTGCGAGAGGACGGTCAGGTTTGCCTGGCCTGGAATGTTCACTGAGGAACCTCCTCGGTCGAGATGGACGTCTGCATCAACTCCGTGTACATCACGCAGACCCTGCAATGCATCAAGATTGACACCTCGGAATGAAATTGACCGGAAGAATTCGTTGTAGCGAAGTGCGCGCATGACCGCAATGAGTTCCAATGCGCTGTACCGTGAGTGGTTCGCTGAAGCCGGTTTGAGAAGACGGAAACATGGCGCATCCTCGCACTCGTGGTCGATGGTGTAGCGAATGTTGGAAGTGTCAATGTCGTAGCTAGCGGAGTAGGCGACCAGTGTACGGTCAAAGCATCCATAGTCCTCGTCTAGAGCGACAGGCGGGAAATTGTCGTCGTTTTGCAGTCCCTTTGGAACAACAAAATCATAGGGCTGCCGGGTCCACAGTGGACGTAGGAATTCAGTATGTTGTCGAATCCAACATGCAACTTCGACAGAATGAACCGAAGCCAGGAACACGTTGAAAGATTTCTTGAGAGGAACCCTGAAAGTGAGATGCAAGCTATCATCGCCATATTCCATGGACAACCCAGTCAAGTTCATCAGACCAAATGAAGTGCCTGCCTCCCAGTCTGACAATGATACCACCGATGACCGATTGTTAGTCTTCTGCATGGGCAGTAGGTGAAGCTTGTGTGAGCCAATGGCAAGGTAGCAGCCTGTAGGTGACAGCTTAGTGAGATCGTCCGAGGAAGAGCGGGTGAGTGATTTGCTGGATGCGATCTGAATAACCCGGAACATGCGGAACACCTCTGGATCATAATCCCGCTCGTGTTCCAACATACGAGTTACGTACTCGACTGAAGCCCTGCTGAACGGTAGTGGGTAGTTTGCTCTGGCCATCTTGGCAGCTTGACGGATGCCCACCATCCAGAGGTTCAATTCTTGTAAGTCAGATGTCTGCATCTGGACCAATGTGGCTTTATGGGTACGCTCGTCCAGATAGGCCACTTCGACCGTGGGTGAGAGCCGTGCATCCTCCAACATGTATACTGCAATAATGCTGTTCAGTGGGATACCAGCAGATGCATCACCGGACGCCATTAGCTGCATATCCTGTAATGAACTGATTGAGGCCACCGATTGGCGATGGGAAGCCGGCGCTCGCGTGTTGTATGAAGCGGGGACTGAAGGAAAGGCATCGGCGGCCTTGATTTGATTTTTGAAACGAACGATATGGGTATCTGTAAGAACGAGGTATTGGCTCTTTTTTCTCCACATGCCCCCGGTCGTTTGAATTTCCCCATGGTGGAGGATTGCAGATGACCAAATCCCATTTCGGGGACTGGCCGCACTGTGATCGTCTCCCACCGAGGCGACAGAGGCAGATAGAGGGTCATCGTCCTCCCAAGAGTGTAAAGACCTAAGGGATCCAAAAACCGAGGTTCGCTTCTTCTGTAAAGACTTCCTCCGCGGGCGAGGGGTCTCAATGGATGTGGAGACCTGGGGTAAAGCGGTGGTTTCCGAGCCTGCTGTGCCAGGACGACCCTTGTTGGACGTGTTAGACCATCTGTTCGGACTCTGAGACCGACCGAAGAAGCCAGAATTGCGGCGGGTTTTCTTCTCGCGAGTCAGGACATCATCCGAGGGTGTTCGGTCATGGAGCGACGGCCGGGTCGGAGGAGTCGATGTGGAGGACGGGCTGAATACGCTCAGACTCTTTCTTCGTTCCCGTTTGCCAATGATTTCGGCCATGTCGGTAATGTGAAGTGGTACAGGAACGGGGGGTATCAAGCGAAGAGCAGTGGCGCGAGTGCTGAGAAAGGAAGCTTATCTCGACGACCTCAACGTCGTTCTTACTGAGACCGGTTAGCAATAATTCTCGTCATGGCCAAATTAGAAGCAAAGATTGAGGCGTGGGAGAGAGTAAGGGGAAGGTAGTACATACTGTAAACCGTCAGGGCGCCATGGAAGCAATCAGCAATTGCTAACACCAGGGTAATCTTCCTAAAGCGGGACCTGCGACTATATCTAGGAAAACCCCAGACGCGTCTGGCACCTGTCAACAATGTGGCAAGCTGGTTGCAAGTATTCCGGAAGAGTATCTCGCCACAAATCAATAGACCAGAACGGAAGCCTGATCTGTCTGATAGTTCGTGTCACAAAGCTAATTTGAGGATATCAGAGCCGATAAGGGCAAGGGAAGAGAGGCGGGGGAGAAGGTGACGAAAACAGAAAGACGAGAACAGCGAAAATAGCGAGTGTGCCCAGGTGAGAAGGGAAGAATTTCACTCCAAGTGAAGAAGTTGAGGGGAAAAGGAGGAATGGACGGATGCAGCTAAAGATTTGCCCCAACACTGGATGTGTTTCACTTACTACAATTATTATCTGGTGACTTCAATGTTATGTAATTGTGGTGTTCTAACTTATTTCTTATTTTTACTGTTATTTATAATTTACTATATTCCCTTCAGCATGAAGATTGTGGGAAGTATAACCGTCGGCGCTTATGCCCGCATTTTAAGACATCGGCGACAAGTCGAATCCGGAGTGAATACACGTAAGAGGCTTGATCCACTCAAAATTGATAGTAGACTCTAGTGGTACTGTAGAGCAGGGATTGTTGTTGCATATCAAATGATCCTTGTCATTATGTGCCTGGTACCTGTACATGTACCTGCACTATACCTGTACCTGTACCTGTGCCTAAGCCTAAGCCTAAGCCAGGATACATTATACTTCATATATTACTTTCTTCTCACCTCCATTCCCTCATTTACTGTACAGTTTGCGATGAGATTTGCATCCAAGATCCACTCCACCTGGGATGATCGACATTTTAGGCGCTCCACGCACCATGGTGCTCTACGGCATTGGATGTGGCCCAAAGGGAGATCGCAATGAGATCAGCATGGTAATCAAGGGGAAGCTCATATCCCCAGAATCCTGGCGTCATCGGTGACGGAACCAAACGAGATCGGCGGATAAGCCTTTCCTCTCCCAGAGGAAACGGGATTTCGAAGCAGGGATATCAGGTTTGGACGTCCTGCCTTGGCGAAGCGGTCAAGCCCATATCCTGCCAATAGCAGACAACTTCTCCACGCTCTCTCTGCCCTCTGCCCTCTGCTCTCATTAAGGACGTGTACCCTGCGCCCTCTCCGCTTGCATCCGCTCTGCGCGTTTAATCTTTCGAACTAGGTCAATGTACTCCGTGACGCGTTTCTCTGCCCAGATACATCCACCCAACGTCACAGCTGCCATTTGCAGGAAGACTTTGAATTGGGGGGTCAGACCGCGGTAGACTTTGGATCCTGGGGAGATCCATTCCGAGAAACCCTCGAGTGGGCGGTGGAAGAGCCGGGAACGAAGATAGTCGCGGGAGAATATCGACGGACGGGGACGGGGTTGTGTCGCGGGGTGGGCAGGTGGACTTGGCGCGGAGAAGACGAAGGGGTGGGGAAGGTTCATGATCATATGAGCCAGGATGGAGACGGAGCCGAACTGGACGGTGTTAGCTGAGTTAGTCGAAGTTTGCTGTTCGACATACGCGGAACGCGCCGGTCATGAAGCCCTGGGCAGCGATCATGGTGATTTCCTCCGGGGGCTCGATATCGGCCCTTTGGTTTGATGGTGGTGGCATCTTGCTATATTTGAAAGCAGTTCAAGGGAATTGTTTGTATCCTTATCGATCCGAGCTTCCGCGGGGTTGCGATAAAGAGGAGGGTATAGGTGTCGTAGCTGTGGTAGGTATGGTAGGTGTGTTCAGTGATGTAAGACAAGAGTGCAGTTCAAATTGAAAATATTAAAGCGAAATATCTGGACCAGCCAGCTGAAATAGAGCAAGTAAAGGAAAGCAAAAGACGAGAGACATCTCGGTGTTTGATAATGCGGATCAACAATTCTCCCGACGACTCAGACAAAAAAGAATCCCGATTACGGAGTATCAGCTACATACTTCATACATCACACCATCTCACAATGTCTCTCTCCGCACGCACAGCGGTGGTCTCCCGCGTAACCAACGAGACTAAAATCCAAGTCTCGCTCTCCCTCGACGGCGGCCCTCTCCCCCCCTACGAGCCAACCACCCACTTCCCCGCCCCGACAGACCCCCAAGAAGCCGAAGCCGCCAAGAAGGGCATTGTCCCCCCCAAGGATGCCGGCCATGCGACACAATTCACCCCGACCCAGCAAATTACCATTAGCACCGGCATTGGGTTCCTGGACCACATGCTGCACGCGCTGGCCAAGCACGGCGGGATGAGTCTGGCTGTTCGCGCCAAGGGTGATCTATACAGTGAGTCCATACATATCATATCATATTATAATCAATTGCCCGCAATTAATCGGAATGCTAATAACCGCTAGTCGACGACCACCACACAACAGAAGATACGTTCCTCGCCGTCGGCGAAGCATTCACAAAAGCCCTCGGCGCCCGCCAATCTCTCGAGCGTTTCGGCCGCGGCGACGCACCCCTTGACGAGGCACTCTCATGGGCAGTCATTGATCTCTCCAGCCGACCGTGGGCAGTCATCGACCTCGGCTTCAAGCGCGAGAAGATCGGCGATCTCAGCACTGAGATGATCACGCACGGTTTGCAAAGCTTTGCGCAGGCTGCGGGTGTGACGTTGCATGTTGGTTGTACTTATGGTGATAATGATCACCACCGCGCTGAGAGTGCGTTTAAGGCGCTTGCTGTTGCTATTCGGACTGCTTGTAAGCGTAGGGTTGCGGGGCAAGTTGGGGCTGGGGATGTTGTTAGTACTAAGGGTGTTTTGTAAGGATCTTCGGTAGAGTGGAGAGGATGGGAAAGGAATGGGGATAGAGATAGATATAAAAGTGATGTATGAAATGAAATGAGATACGGTATATGATATAAGTTATCATCATGCATGAGCAATACTAAACCCCAACACCATAACGCCTATCCCACATCAAAGAGCCAGCTCTTCAACCCAATGCAAATGAAATCAAATCAAATCAAACCAAGTAGCAAACCCTAACGCAAGGCATAACCCAAACCAAACCATGTCAAACTAAACACCAAGAGCCTTAACAGCCCTCTCCCAATACTCCTTTCGTTCATCCGTAACAGAAGTCCCAACACAATCAGAAATATACCGGCTCCAGCCACTCTCATCACCAGCAGCAAGAGCAGTCCGCACCTCCTTAGAGCACTGCGTTGTCAAAAACCAAGCCCCAGACCCAAAGTCATAAGTGCCATCATTCCTCAGCAAATCCAACAAAGCAGCTGGATCGTTGGAGACGCTAGCTAGTTTATCGCTCAAGGCTGGGAGGGACGATGCATATTTTTTGTTGTAGGATGGCGATTGCATGTTTCGGGCTGTTTATACGATCTCAGGTCAGTATATGGTTATGGTTGTGATCAAGAATGTTTTTGGTATACTCACTCCCCTGCCCAGCAACACCCGGGAAATGATTCTTATTATATCTGAAATCATCACTCTCGAATGCCATCAGGGAAATGATAGCGGCCTGCTCGGCCTTGTTGGTCACCTTGTACGTATCGAACGACTGGGAGGTGAACTTGGCGGCTTGTTTGCCTGTTGCGCATTCGCCTTCTGCGGGTGGGTTATCGCAATCTTTGGATTTCGGGGCGATGGTTTCCATTTGGGATTGCGTTATGCTTATTGCATCGGCGCGGTTGAGGCCAGTTAGGTGGAAAGGGAAGGGCGTTGCGGTTGTTAGGGTTGTTAGGGCTAGGAGGAGGGTTGGGAGGTGCATTCTGTATTGATTTTGTTGTCTTTGTTTTGTTGTGTAGAGTGTAGAGTAGAGATGGTTGTAGGTTGAGTAGATGGCGTATAGTGGAAAAAGAGATAGTGATAGTTCCAAAGAAACCAAACCACAAGATAAAGAGAACAGTGCTCAAGTTCAGGAACGAGTAGTCAATGACTTGGAAAAAATGATATGCCAGTATAGAACGCAGAAAGAGCGCAATCCAACCCATATTTATAAACCCTACAACATACCCCCCAGAGGCGAGAGACAGCTATACGAAACACGGGGTGCTAGCGCATAATACAAAGAAGCTGGAAACATACAAAGGGGAGGGTGGGGGGCGAATACCGCCTCGAAAATACATTACTTTCCTACATAACTTACTGTAGTCCTACATAGTAGGCACAGGCGAAGGCGCGGAGAATGCCAGCCGAAGTATGTTAAATGACGGAGTTGCCCCCAAATCAAGGCAGGACAGATGACTTGTCTATTACTTGTGCATGACTACGGGGAATGAAACGGGCTAGTAAACTGAAAATTGCAGGAAAGGATAGAATAGAGAGGATTTTTGTACTGAAGAAACCCTAACTGCATGCATGTTACTGTGGTGAGACTCGCCTCGCGCTCGACCCTGCGCGGCTTGATGGAGCCAGTCGGAAAGCTTATTGTGGTTTATGGGCTAGGGCCGCTTCTTGCTGCATTGTCTATGCAAGGCACACTGGTGTTGTCATTGGATGAATGGAGTGGTTTCAAAAATGCTGAAACGCTTGTTTGGAGTTGGCGTTGACATATCACGTTTCAAGTTGTGCGGAGGTTGCATTTGTGCCGTACTTAATTGCTTTTACTGTGTCGTATTGCTAGGTTACAATGTGCAGGAAGTAAATAGATCATGTGGACTCAAAAGCCACGAGTATTGATTCATCATTCTCCCCTGGAGATCTCCGTATCAACGTGTGCATATAGAAAGAACAAAAAACAGGCCCGAGGTCCAAGATCATCACCATCACCCAGAATCGAAATCTAACTTGTTTACAAATCAATAAGGGGCCACAAAGGTGAAAGTGAAGATGAGGGGATGGTGAGAAGCCGAACGGAGCCAATCGGGACACACAGGCGTAGCGAAGCGCAGTAGCGCACATGTCCAAGCAAGTAATAAAAAGAGTAAGACAAAAACCTCAATGATTTGCTCCAGGTGAGCATTCAATCCAGGATCCCGCCACGGGATTGAGAGACACCATGCATGCGCTCATAAACAAGAAAGAAAAGAATAAAAGTATACAGTAGTAAATGCTGATGCAGAGATCGTATCTGAGGCCGTATCGATAGACAAATACAGTGAGAAGAAGAATTCAGATATCGGAAATCGCAGATATCAGTCGAATCGAAATCAAAGCAGAATCAGACATCTAGTCATCGCGTCGACCGAGTTCGTAAGAGGTTTCGGTGGCTCCGCCTGATTCTTCGTCTTCTTTGAAGCTGACTCGGCGAAGGATCGTTGGTACGGTAAGTCGTGATCGCCGTGTTGGCGAAGTCGACAAGCGCGACGGACTGAGGAGAGTAGGCACTTTTGAGTATCGGTAGCGGTATTGGGCACCGAGAAGCATAATGCGGCCGTAGCTCCACCAGAGGCAGATTCCAACGATTCCAGCAACGAGGAACCCGCACATGGTGAGGAAGACCCAATGTTGGCCCATCTTTGGTATGTTAGCTTACTGCCTTAATTTGGAATGAACTGAAACAGCGACTTACCCAGAAGATGAGACGTGCGTCCTTGCCGTGCCAGCTGTTACCCCGGTGGTGGGTAAAGAAGCTCCACGAGAACTTGTTGTACTCATCCTGCATGAGAATGCGGACGCGCCCAGCCTCGCTCGGCTTATCCTGCATGTACTCCTTCCAGATCACCGACAGGAACAGTGGACCCGTCGAATACATGACCGTGATGTAGGGGAGGAGCCAGTGGCGGTCGTACTGTTGCAGCAACTCGATCACACGTAGGAAGAAGGGGTGTTGCGGCACGGAGCCCATGGCGTCGTTGGAGATACCGGTTGGCACTGTGCGGCGAACCCAAGCGGGGTAGGAGAGGAGAGGATCTAACCGGCGGTTGCAGCCCTGCTTTCGTCAGTAAACGAACAATCTAGGTGTCACGCTAATACATACGTCGTCAAGATCAATGTAGGTTCCACCGTAGTGAGCGAGAACGAAGTACCGAATGGAATCGGCGCGCTGGATGGGGTACTTGTAGCCATCGAAGGTGTCCAGGAACCAGGGGTATTCAGCAGCAATGAAGTCGCGCGATTTTTCGTTTGTCCAGAGCTAAAGTATGGATTAGCGAATTGACCCTGAGCAAAAGATTGGGGCTGGACATACAATGTACTCATAATCCGGGTGCAGGTCGATACAGCTCTGTTGAGCCTCCACCCAGACCTCCGGAATGGTCTCATTCTTGTATGTCTGGTGAATGATCTTAGGAATGATCTGGGGTCGCTGTTCGATCAGACTGGAGTTGGGCGACGGCAGTTCAGCGCGGTGAATCGCGTCGGCCGCGGCATCTTCGACAAGTAGCGAGAGGAGAGTCGAGACACTGCGGACAAGCAGTGACAAGATGAGGAGGTTGACGAGGCAAAAGATCAGGAGACCACGCCGCATGGTGAAGGTGTAGGAGACGAGCGCGGAAATCGAGGGAACAATGCGCGGCCAATTGAACAATGCTTATAAGTCGTCAAGTCGTGTCGATGTTCAGACCCTGAGGGCGGTTGAGGTTTGAAGTGGAATGAGCGCCAATTCCACGCGGGTGAAGGAATCAAAGGAGAGGCGAGATGCGAGACGAGATGGGAGGACTAAACAGAACAGCTAAGGAGTGACGAGTGGGGAGACTAAAGAGGGAGTGAAGGCGAAAAAAAGACCCCAGCGACATAGGGGAAATACTGTACCGTACAGGGGTTCCAAGGGCCATACGAGGCTAAGGTGGCTGAGTAGAACTATTTAGGTCTAGTGTGGTGGGGCTACACAGGGGATAAACTTTTGAAACTGTTGAGTACAATACCATACTCAACATGTAGTTGTAATTAATAGTTAATAGTTAAGTTAGTGTTGGTAGTAAGTTAGTAGTGTAGCTGCACTGTCTATAATAACTAGACTTACTTGTAGAGTAAGCTGTTGAGCTCGCGTGCTGTAAATAGCCTGTGGGGGAAATCTCCACTCAACCTATTCAGGTAAGTACTTTGAACCGAGAAGCCGAGGCTGGGCTAATGCGCCCAGCATAGCATCTTGTCCACTTACAGCCCCAGAATATAGGCACGTTTAAACGCTAAAGCAGATAATAATCTTACTATACAATGTAATCCTGAAACAGCGCATATACACGTAGCCCTGAGATAAGAACGCCTTTGCCATTGTGATCTATTCCGGTTGCCTAAGAGCACAGAACCAACCTTCAATATCGTGGAATTACCACCGATTCGCCGACACAGCACCAGACATTGAACGTGGGGCCTTCATAAAATGGTACGGCTGGAGACTTCTACACGAATACGCTCATAAGATAATACATGTAGCCAAGAGCGCATTAAAATAATGTAACTGTATAACTAACTGTAAAAAATTCAAACTACTGCCTAGTGTACCACAACCACCACTGACATACGAATACGATTACCATGGGAACACACTATCACTCCACATAATCACTTGGCTCTGGTACGTTGAAATCGCCCCCACAAACCCGCTAGGCTGGCGTCAGCCTAGTCCACCAGCCCACGGTTCACCCACTCAATCTTGCACTCGAATAGCTACACTTCACTTTCTGCATCTTGACGTATCACTGCACTGCCGACAAGATCGGCAGTCGTGTCTTCTCCGGACTCCAGGTTTCGATGTGATCAGCGCTTTGTGACGTGGGTGGGTTGGGGGCTAGGCGTTACAACGTTAGTAGTCCCTGTTGCTAACTCGATAGGGATTGATATACAGATGTACATTGACCTAGCATCCACTGTACAGATTACTATGTCCTATCACTTATATGTCTACCACTCTCCATCACTTCTACTGTAGCACACCGGTGTATTAGGTCGCGCAGATCGCCTGCCGTGCGATGATTATCACAAGGGACAGCGCTGTGATCGGCCGTGTTTTGGCTGTTTTGGTGACTGGAGTGGCTGGTTAGAACTAATGATGTTGATGATTATTCCTATTCGATATAAGCAGCGTACAGTAACATGGTAAGTTAGCTATAGTTAGCTAATGTATCTGCCTGTCAACTGAAACGCGGCTGTGGCTAAGTCGGAATGCGTCACTTACATGTACTTGTAGCTTATTCTGTTCTAATTATATTTAAGGATTGCACTACGTCAATGTCAGCATCGATCAGGTTATCTTGCAGGCCTATATGAGGCGGTACAGCTATGTACATGTACATGTACCTGTACTCGCCCTTGACTTGGCTGTAAGGTGTTTAGTTCAATGCATGGATCACGCGGTGTTTGTACTCTATTTTACTTTAAAATAAACAGAGGGACGTGCGTTTGGTGCGTCAAGTGTCTCATGTTTCATGTACTCTCATCTATCTCAAGGGATAACTGCTTTGAATGATGATATGATTTGGGAATGAATGACAATAATTGGGTATCTCGGCGATTTCAATGCAAATAAAAATTAAACACATACAGGCTCTCGAGGTATCGGCTGAACCTAATCTGAGGGTCCTTCCACACATCACAAGGAGGCCCGGGGTCAAAAGGCACATGTCATATCAGACAAAATGATCACCGACTACCTTTGGCTACCTTCATCGCATCGTTCTTCCGGAAAAGCCAAGTGGTGCTGCGTCACCGTTATCAAGCTCCAGGTCCGCTGTGCACTTCTGGAATACTCTCACCGGGCGCGAGTTGGGCAACGGGCTTTGGCTACCGTTCAGCTTCTTGCTGAATACTCCACAAGCCCAAGCATCGTCATAAAAGTACGGAAGCCACCAGATTCACGGATCGGTATCTTTACTATACCAGTGTAGATGTCGATCTTCCAGATATGTGGTTGACCATCGGATTTCGACGCGATAGATGGAATCTCCAATTCCATGTGGATCCGTCCATTCATCGGACTTCAGGCGCTGCAGCCGCCACAAATTCCCGGTTCACAGTTGTTGCACCCATATTACGCTCACTGGCAGCAGGTCTAGCCTCAAAAATACGGCGCCACCACCGAGGCGGATCAAATGGCCGGTGGCCACCATGCAGAGGCGGGTAAACGTCATTGAAGAAGTACCAAATATGGCCAACAACAACACCGAGAATCTCATCCTTGGGCACAGTCTTATGCACTATCAAACTGAATCCCATCAACACCCAAGGCAGGTAAGGCGCCGTGAAAACCAACAGTCCCAAGAAACTAAGACGAGTATCGGGGTTGCGGCGGGCCCAGATGTAAACCAGGCTGGATGAAAGCGCCGAGCCAAGAAACGGTAATGAAAGGAAAGGCGAGATGATGAGGAGGCAAGTCATGGCGTAGAAAATCAGCCATGCGAAGTGAGCCGGGGAGCGGCCGGATGATTCCTCCAACAGGCGGGAGTATCGCTGTAGGAAGAAGACATGGAATAGTAAGTCGAGATTGAGCGGTCCGAAATAGAGGAATGTCGTTAGAAGTCGCCAGTATTGCGATTTGACGTATACCGAGCGGAAGCTGTAGAATAGCTGGAATGGGGTCACGATGTGGCATTGTACTAGCAGCGACGTTACCACCGTGGCTACCGTCCACCACCGGGTGACGGGTGGCATCTCATAGAACCATTGCTCGAGAGGGAATTGGCCTGGTTGCCCATTGTTCTCCCAGAGAGCAGCCATGTTGATGAGAAAGAGGTGAGAGAGTAAGTGAAAGTAGATCTCCAGGTGTCCTTCGATAAGGCCAGATATCACGTGCCATGACGCGTGAACAAACACGGGGGCTGGGACGCTAACACCGAAATAGTTCATATTGAGATTTATTCTTCCCCTCGAGGGCTACCTGTGCATCTATACTCGAATAACGAATACTGGGATACAAAGGCAACCCGCTATCGCCTCGCCTAACTACCAGGCCGCAATTGATCGCGTGTCAACGCCCCCAAACAAACACGCGCCAGCGCACGTCATTCTCCTACATCCCCAATGCCACCTAAAATGGCACGAAAGTCAGCACCAGGCAGCGCACAAAAGGGTCGCAAAACAGCTGCGACAGCTGCCGCAAATGAGTCACCAATACAAGCGCGCAAAGCCGCGAAAGGGAAGCAACCCGCAAAGACAGCTGCCGATGTCCAACGTATGTCTATCCCAACCCTCACCCTCACCGTCCTCTCAATGCAATCCAAACCAATCTAACAACCAAACCCAGCGGGCGACCCAACCCCTACAGGGCGCCGCCGCCGCTACAAACCAGGCACAAAAGCCCTAAAAGAAATCCGCCAATACCAACGCGGCTATGAGCTGCTCATCGCGAAACTACCCTTTGCCCGCTTAGTCCGTGAAGTGGCGCTCGACCTTCTCCCCGCTGACGTCGGTGCCGAATTGCGCTGGCAGTCGCATGCTATTCAAGCGCTGCAGGAGGCTGCCGAGGCTTTCCTTGTTCATCTATTTGAGGATACGAATCTTTGCGCATTGCATGCTAAGCGGGTTACTATTATGCAGAAGGATATTCAGCTTGCGAGGAGGATTCGGGGTGTGTGGGGTGGTTTAGGGTGATTTAGGGTGATTTCTTGTTTTTGTTTCATTTGATTTCATTGGATGGTGCGTTGTTAAATGCGAGGATTTATTAATTCGGTGGGTTATTTGCGGACCTTTTAACCTCTTTTCTTTCTTTCGTGTTGATTGATTGAGGTGGGTTCAGCTGGCGTATTGAGGGCATGGAGTTTAATGCGGTGGTGTTTTCTGATATTTTCGATACTGCTGGCTCTCGAGCTTTCGAGCTTTCGTTCGCGTGCAGTTGCGCTTGCATTGCATTTGCATTTGCGTTTGTCGCTGTGCGCTGGGGTATACCAAGGACCTTTGTACATTATGGATGTCGGATGTTCCTGTCTTTTCCTACTTTCCTATATGGAGTGAAGCAATTCATGGTCTTCTCGAGGTACTATCCTCGTTGAAGCATTCAACTTATCATCCTACGGTAAATATGAAAATAAACAGTGGTGATTGGGGTGGGGTCATGGCATTAAATGTGGTCCATGATTGAAAGAAATATCAGGTTGAGAATAACCGAAGAAAAAAGCAAACGCCTTCCCTGGGTAGCCATCAAATGGTATCATAACGAAGCGCTCCCATAACAATGAGCTTGAAACAAAGGGTAAAGACAAGATAGATGGGGCTGTTAATAAAGCAAGAAAGAAGTCAAAAATCAAAACCATCAAGAGAGGTCCCTAAGCAAAGCGACTCAAACCTGGGGGAAGGCCTGCCACCAAGCGCTGGCCTTCTTCGCGAACGCCCTGGGCCTCCTCGCTCTTGCCCTGTCGTTCTAGGGTCTCGGCCAGCATATCATCAGTGACACTCGCCCACAAGCGGTCGTTTGCGCGTTTGGCCATGGCGCGGCCAGCACGCGCGCTCTTCTCGGCTTGCTCGCCGACTACGCCGCGGAAATACTTCCAGCTCATGAAGGTGAGCGTCATGCAGGTGATCTGGCTGTTGCTGATAGCTGTGGCAGACTGGAGCGCTTGTTGGAGGTATTGTTTGGTCTGAATGGTTGATTCGGATTGGAAAGTTGCGCAAACTAGGTAGTAGGCGGCCTGGATGTACTTGTTTGGACTGCTTTGGCAGAAGGGCTCGATGGTGGCTAGAACGGTTGGTAGCAGGGAGTGCGAGGGGTGGGCCGGATCGCGGATTATCAGGACGCTGTTGATACCAGCGAGGATGCGCGTGTCACGGCATGGGTCGTTCCGGGCTGTCTTGCTGGTTGATGCGTTGAGAGACAGAAGTGGCGATTGGAAGACGGCTAGTGCGGTCTTGAGATCGCCAGTTGCCTGTGCGATGGTACCGGCCGCATATTCCATTAAGCATTCAATGGTGTCCGGAAGTGTGGAGCCAAACTCTTGGAAGACCTGTTGCAGGTTATTGAGAGTTTGGCTGGCGAGCTCCCAGTCGGTTCGAGAACACGCCAGGAAAACCTTCTGCAGAAGGAAGTTGCAATAAAGAGACTGACGCCATTGCACTCGTCGGTTGGCATTGGCCATGGACTCCGAAATCTCTTGAGGGACCCTGAAGTTGCCCTGGATCATGCGAAGCCCTTCCTCGAGATATTTCTCTGCTTTCCGGCCATCGTATGAGTTTTTAGCACTGAGTGTGATCGAACTGAGGAAGTAGCAAAGTGCATATAGGTCGTGCTGGGGAAGCCAATTAAAGCTCAACCACAATGTCCCATTCTGGACTAGCAAGATATCACCGGTGTCAATCGAGGAGGGTCCGGCGGACTTTCCATTGAGTGGGACGGAGAATGACCCATCGGGACGCCAGTTGGTGTCACCAAGTGTCTCATCCATCAAAGCCTGCATGATCTTCAATTTCTGACCGGATTGGTTGACATCGTACTCAAGAAGGCTGCAGCAGATATCTACCATCTGGATCAAGGTCGTAAGTTGGGGGATATGGCGAAGCTCATCATTTAGTTGATGGCTACGCGCAGCAGCCACGGCACGCTGCGCTTGCTCAATCGAGTCCGAGTTCGTCCCTTGCTGCAAGTGCGCCAGTGATTCGATAACAGCCGCCATTGCTGAGACAGCCTTGTCTCCGTTCCGACTTGCCATGGCTGTAATCTTGTGAAGGTGCTGCAGTGCCTGCACAGAGTCTTGGTGTGATGGAGACGACAATGAGAGCGTTACTCGAAGGAAACGGAATGCGTACTCCCACGCAGCATGGCGATATGCTTCCACGTCCTGAATCATGCCATCGACAGCTTTCAAGGAAGCTTTGGGGTTAGACTTGTGGATCATTCGCGCCAAGAGATGCTGCATGCTGTACTTTAAATCAAGCATACGGTTCTATAAAAAGTCAGTAACTAAGACATATTCTCTCAGAGGTTCTTTTGACTGACTCGTTCACAAAGATCGATCTGTATCGGGTTAGCTTTGCTTCTAGACATAAGAGAAATGAACATACTCCTTTGCTTAATGCGGTTTCTGCCTCGATATCATTGTCCGTTTCCTCGAACAACGTACGCGCATAGCGAAGTCTCACAAGCGCTTCTTTGCGTGGTTGCAAGCGCCAGTTCTACTATTTGATTAGCTTTCGATGGCAGGCTATACACCGAGGCGTTCACAAACCTTCAAGACAGCCTCTAAACAGCCCAGTCCCGTAGCGACTAGTTTGTAATATTCCTCAACATCCGCCTCACGTGTAGCAAGGGACGTGGTTGTTCCATGAGAATGAGCAGCGTTGAGATATTCATCGGCCAAGGACAACAAGAGAACCTGATAGTCGACTGGGGGTTTCGCAGGTTTGGCAGCTGGAGGCTTCCCATTCTTTTCAGCAGAATGCTGACTCGGGCGCTTCTTTTCCACGTGCTGCGTGGTCTGCTGCTTCTTCGGTGTCTGATTTTGCGTCCGTATCTTTGCTTGAACGTCGGGAGAAGGGGCTGGTACCATGACTTGCGGCTTAGAATGCATCACTGGTGATGAGGCTGGCTGGGGTCGTTTCGGCGTTGCAATAGGAGTTGCATGGATCTGCTGGGTTTCAACTTTGGGGGAGATGTGAGGTTGCTTAGGTTCGACTTTGATGATGGGTTGTGGTTGCGGTTGCGTCTGAGGCTGAGGCTGCGGTTGTAGTTGGGAGTGTGGTTTCGGTGGTTGACTTGGTTGCTGCTGGATATGGATATTTGCTGGTCCTTGGTTGCTTGGAGTCTTCAGCCTAGGGCTAGCAGCAGGCGGAGCAACATGGACAGGTGCAGCTGGTGGGCCAAATGAAGGTCCCGGGGGTATTTGCGAAGGGCTTGCATTTGGCATAATAGGTGGCTCGGCATATTGAGGGAGTTGGGTGTATCGGGACCGCGGGGCAGTAGGCAGAGGTTGTTGTACAAACAATTGCGCGGGATTCACAAACTGATGCTGTAAGTCTTCTTGCTGGATTGGTTGTTGAATCTGAGGAGGTGGAGGTGCGGGTGCATGCACAGATGCAGGGGGAGGTGCAGATGCAGGAGCAGGAGCAGGTCCAGGCCGAGGTGGAGGTGACTGTAGCTGAGGGAGAAATTGTGGTTGCGGCTGAGGTTGGGGTTGCGGTGGTTGTTGGAGAGGTTGCTGCAATTGAAGTGGCTGCTGCGGAGGAGTTTGTGAGGGATGACGCGGCTGTACTTGCTGCTGGGGTTGAGAATATGTCGATGGATACGAGTATCCCATCATCGAGGGAGGATACATCCCCGGCTTCCCATAGCCATCATAGGGTGCTGGCGGAGGGCCGGCATTATACAGCATCTGCGGGGGCAGTGGCCCATGCTGATACGGCGGTGGTATATACTGCGGATATTGCCCGTGGCCGGGGGGTGGGAAGCTCATCCCGAAATGCACTGCTCATAAAAGCGAAAAGCGAGTAGTTAAACTCGTGAGTTGGTCGTGGTGTGGTCCGAAGAAACCCCAGGCGGTCAGCTGATAAGGATGCGATAATGTACTGGGAACTTGTCTTGGCTTTGTTTGACTCAATATCTTTGGTCTATTTCTTGCTCATTTGACGAAATACGCTCCATATCTTGAAATTAAAATTGTATCTTTTCTTACTTGCTTTTCCCCTAAGTTAGCGGCATCTATATACTCCATATATGTAGCTCTCATGGGTCGACAGAACCGATATTACAGTTACAACAAGGACGTTTCCTTTCCCAAAGAAGCAAAAGCGGAAGCGAACCAAAAGGTCGACCTGTGTTGCCTTAAATATGATGGTAAATACTGATTGATAAAAAAACCCCAAATGAAGCCGCTAGGCTAGACCGATGCTCACTATACACTGACAAACTGCCAAAACCCAACATTAACCCTAATTTGCGCCTCCAACTCCAAAAATGCTTGTAACAACCCAAACGCCTCTCGTGCAGCAAACCTTAAAGATTGCGAAGTGATGAATAAAGCTGATTGATGGGCGAATTACCCATAGCAGGATCAATGATTTCCTCGCCCAAACTCGGCGTGAAGGAAAGCGCTGGGTGTTCACGCACCGTCCAGGGACAAAGCTCGTTGCAATTCTCCACGCTGATTGATGGTTCAGCCGGGTGGATTCTCTGATTTCCCCAGGCTGAGTCAGGAGTGGAACTTGTGCCTCCGAGATTTCGCTCGGTCCAGAATGAATACGTCGCCTTGTTTGACTTTTCAATGTGGAATGGCTGCTTCCGTGGGCATTTCAACGTCGTGTCACATGCACTGCAAACCGAGATGCGCTTGCATGATGAACAGAATGAGTCGAATAGGCGGCATATGGTGGTTTGGTAGACGCTTGACAGCCAGAGGTCAACTGATCGATGTGCACATCCGAATCGTGGTGTCATGAAATCTTCCTTTCCAACTTGACCTGGTTCGGTGGTGAGCTGATATTCCGTGCAAATAACCAGCTGGTTGTTATGGTCGAGTTCCGGGAACAGGGAAGTCTTCAGCTCCGTTGGACCATACTGCTCGGTGCATGTATGCCAACAATAACGTTCGTCGACGGCATTTCCAAATTCTGATTTCAAAGCTTGCAGCGTGATTTGTCGTGCGCGTACATGATCCACAAGATCAAGTTTATCCCGGAAGGTCAACTTTTTGCATGGACAAAGGTCGACAATTCCGGCCAACTCGCCAACATTGCACGTTCGCTGGTCTGCCTTGCGTCTCAACTCTTTCGGCGAGAAAGCGGCTCGAGGATGAAGCTTCAGACACTTCGAGCAAAGCTTCCAGCGGCTGTTCTCAAGTAGGTTGAGGAATGACCATCGCGGGGTAACGAAGTTGTGACCATTACGGTAATGATGGAAGAGCGGCGCAAAGTCTCGAGCGAACCGGAGGGACTTCGAGAATAGGATTTCGCCGGAGATGGCGAACATGCGCTTGCAAGTCAGTGCAAGGGCTGCCTCCGGCAGTACTGTCAAATGGGAAACGATTTCCAGTAATAGTTCAGTGGGTAATTCCATAAGATAGCAACGGCCGGAGCCATCTTCCTGCTTCTTCGACCGTTTTGGTGACCACGGTCTCATCTTGATTATGATTTTAACCTTCTCTGTGGCGCGAAAAAACCGATCGGACATGTTGGAAGGTAACTCTCTTATTAGGGTCATGGGGGGTGAGGCCGGCCTTTATCTGAAGCAAAAAGAGTCGAAAATGAGCACGGGTGTCACTGAAGTATCATATTGGAATCAAGTGTAGCGCGTGACAAAAGGCATCAGAAGAAAAGGAAAGATGGATCTTTTGACCTTGAGGTAGTCTTATGAATGATTGAATTGCACGAAAACGGACCATGGGACAAGGTCACAATAAGTTATCAGCATTACATATAGGGCTTATATGATTCTGGTCATTCTTTGTCCGATGATCCCTATGCATAACGCCGGATATCTCAACATCTACTGCTTTTGTCTGCAGAGACATTTCTCAGACAGACATAGCCATTGTCGGAAAACATGGGGATATCTCCTTGCATTTGATGCCGGAAGTTATCAAGGGCTTCCGGATACGGAAGCCCATGTTGCCGCATTAAGCATCATAGCATCATCACTTCATTATCACAACAGAACGCCTTGGCCTTCACCAGATAAGATGTATAGGGTGTATCAAATCTATGCTCGGGCCTAGTATGATATTGTCAACTGACTTAAAACAATTCAGATGACTGACAGATGTCAGATGTGCGATTGTATCATGTGACATTCATGTGATTGCTGAGTCAGGATGTGGTCACGTGGGATAAGTTTCAGATTGCGATAAGAACATCTTAGTCATGCCCCAATCGGGTAATGCCGAGGTCCCTTGAAGCGTTTTTTGCTTTTTATGTTCCAAGCCACTTTTCTCTACTCGAGAAACAAGCAGAAGGGTCGTCATTCTTGAACATATACCAGAACATTCATTTCATTTTAGACTTGATTTCAGCGTTTTGCATCCACATCCTCATGCACCATCTCGTATCAACTCTGCTTGAATCTTTTCCCCTATCGGTTCTCTTATCAGGACTGATTGCTATGGGTTTGCTCTCATGGCTTCGTCCTAAGGGCCGCATATCATTCTATCACTCCAAGGATAACCAGTTGACGTTGACTAAGGTTTCCGGCACTGCAGCCAAAGAACAGACCACGTTTGTTGATATCTGTCGGTCTGCAACACCAGACACATGCAACTTGAACCCATTCTTGTTCAATGGGCACCTGCAGACCTTTTGGACAGTCCTGAAACATGATAATGTCCCAGTCTACTACAAACGCAAAATGTTCGAGTCGGACAGTCCTGCATTCACGGGGCAGTATGCTATCGATTTCGTGGTTGCACCGTACGACATGCCCAAGGACCCGGAATTGACTGATCAAGCGAGGAGATATACCCAAGAGTCTGGAATGCCGCCACGCACCTCGTTCTTTACACAGGATGAGTTTGCTGATTTGCCTTCTGATGATACCAAGCCTATGCTTGTGGTTCTTCACGGCTTGAGTGGTGGCTCCCACGAAGTATACTTGCGCCATATCCTGGCACCGCTTGTGAAGGACGGGGCATGGGAGGCATGTGTTGTCAACTCTAGAGGTTGTTCGCAGACCAAGATTAGTACTGGCGTGCTCTATAATGCCCGGGCTACTTGGGATGTTCGCCAGTCTGTGAAATGGATCAGGAGAAAGTTCCCCAATCGCCCCCTTTTCGGAATTGGTTTCTCGCTTGGAGCCAATATTCTCGCTAATGTATGTTTCCTCGTGGTAACTATGCAACTATTTACTGACAATCTTTTAGTACCTGGGAGAAGAGGGAGATGCCTGTCAATTGAAGGCAGCCGTCCTTTGTGCAAGCCCATGGAACTTGGACGTCAGCTCTTCATACTTGCAAAGTACCTGGATTGGCAAGGAGGTATACAGCAAAACGATGGGCGCCAGCATGAAAAGGCTCTTTGAACAGTGAGTGCCATTGCCCTGTTTATCCAATTGAAGCTAACACTGAATAACAGACATGTCGAGGCCATCTCCAAAAATCCTCGCATTGATGTCGATGCCGTGAGGAACAGTACTTACTTGCATGAATTCGACCGGTAAGCCTACCCTCGCTACACAGAGAATACAACTCTAACGTGGATCAACAGCGCCTTGCAATGCCCAAGCTGGGGCTATCCTACCGAGGGAGCGTATTACCGTGATGCCGCTTCCACTGATTCAATGCTTGCTATCCGTATCCCTTTCCTTAGTGTTCAAGCAGAGGATGACCCAGTAAGTCATGGAACCATCGCAAACACGAATTGCCACTAACGGCACTAGATCGCCTGTCGAGCTAGTCTACCCTTCCATGAGATGACCCAAACACCATATGGAGTCATGTTGACTACGTCTTGGGGTGGTCATTTGGGTTGGTTCGAGTTTGGAGGGTCAAGATGGTTTGTCAAGCCGGTATGTGATACGTCAAACAAAGATTTTTGACGAACTCACACTAATCTCTGCTTAGGTGACAACCTTCCTGAACAAGATGGCTCGGGAAATCGATACTCAGATCCCTGGTATTGTCGAACACCCCGAGAAACTTCCTGGCAACATCGCCCATCACGACGACCCCAACAAAGATCCCGATATGGCACCTAAGCCCGAGTTCAAACCTATGCGACGCAAACTCGCCTTGCCTTTGGGACAGTAATAGACAGTCCCTTCAACACTTTTCAACAATATCGCTGCCACTACTCTGCTGCCACTACTCTGCTGCCACTACTCTGCTCAACTTTAGCGATGCGGCATTCATGTACAACGGGAACACCCCCACAAGCGCGATTTCATGATGATGGTTCAATTCCGATAGACATAGATAAACTGGTGAAAACGCCGAACCCCGATATCTAAGTACATAAACAAAGTATATAGACAATACACCATTTAAGACTTTTTGGTTTCAAGCAAATGCAACGCTCTTCTTCTTTCCCTTAGCCGATTTTGAGACACTCGTAGACTCCGCCTTGTCGGCGTTCTTGCCCTTCTTCTTGTTCCGGATTGAATCCTTGACGTTCTCAAGCTTGTTCTTCTTCTCTGCAATCCGGGCCTCGGTCTCCTTCTTCTTGGCTTCGCGAATTTCTTCTAATTGGCGGGCCTTCATCATCTTGGACTCGATTTGGCCTTCCTTTTCAGCATTTACCATGGCAAGGATGGTCATCATGCCCTCCTATGAGAGAATATTAGTATGAGATCTGACAATTGCAATGGAAAGTAAGAGGAGACAACATACCTGATCATCGACAAAGGTCTTGCCCTTCTTCTTGCCCTTAGGCTTGACAACCCCAACGGGTGTGATGGCGTTCAACTCAGGCAAATCCAGCTCCTTTTCGGTGTATACCCTCTTCTTCTTTTTCTTCAAGTTTTCTTGCATAGTCCGAGGCTTGGACTTCATTTCCTGTGGCGGGGGACGCTTGGGGGCATTTTTCTTGCTGACGCGCGAGGCAGATCCTAGGGTAGGCTTAGAGCCCTTTGCGCCTCCAGATGCAGCACCCTTGTGAGCGGGTTTGGAAATAGGCGCCATTTGGTAGCGGTTGCGAAAGCAGACAATTGATTCGGTCGAAGTGGACTGAGGTGGGAGACAACGTAGAGATTGACGACGTAGCAAGAAAAGAGTTGCAAAGACGTCAACAACTCAAATGCGAGACAGATAACCCCGTGAATTGAAAGATATCAAGAAAATCCGACTGAAAAAAATAAGAGCAAAGAAGCGTCGCGCTGATGGTCCAATCCCCAAAGTCGCAAAAGAAATTTTTTGAAAAGGAAGGCGGTGAGTCCGGCCACTTCCACCACCAACCTCAGACCGAAACCTCCACCTTCGAGCTTGCCAGGAACCCTCGCTCAATTCCCTCCCCCGTCTCCGTTCTCAGGGTTTGAATTGTACGGCTTTGAGTACCTTTACCTCCGCCAATATGACTATCAACCCTACCTTCCTGGCGCAGCGCACGCGCTCCTGTACGTTCCCTTCCCCGATCTGTTCCGCCGTCCACCCGGGGGGGGATCTTCAATGGGGTCCTTGCAGTCGAGAGAGGTGCTAATGTTGTTTGTTTAGCTGTTAACTGGGGAGACGCCAAATACAGAGTCCTCAAGTCTTACCGCGAATGGCTCCGTGCGGTCAGTTTACCCAATCCCTGTACACCAACTCCCTTGATGCGCCTCTTTACACGCATTGATTGTGGATTTATATCGCTTGATCAATTAGCTTCATCGATTCGCTTTCTTCGCCTCAAATGCGATGGTTCAACTGTGGAGTACTTGAGCTAACGTGGTATACCCAATATAGTCCCCCGAGATCCAGACCATGTACTCTCTCGGCATGCCCGTATCCGCCATCCGCACCAAGATCCGCCAGGAGTTCGAGAAGCACCGTTATGTCAGCCAAATCTCCGTTGTTGACGTCCTGCTCTACAAGAGCCACGCCGAGTTCCAGGTTAGTTCCACCGTTCATACGTTGCGGGCTTATGACTTCGACACGGGGATATATTAAAGCAAGAACGGCCTCCACCATACCTTCGCTATACCGTCTCATTTGATTGTCTACCATCGCAGCCACCCCGCATTGCCAAATACAATACTGACGCATCATTTAACACAGGAAACCCTTAACTACTGGAAGCAGCTTTCCCACGTTATGAAGTACTTCCGCCCAGAAGAGGACCCTGGCGCGCGGCTACCCCGCAATTTCGTCTCGGGTTTCCTCGAGGGCCGCAATTAGATCCTCTTTCTCTGCTTTTCTCTCTATTTCCTATCCTCTTTGCCTCGTTTCTGGTCCACGGTGTGGCAGGGACTGTGCCGCCGATAGACATGATGTGTACATATTGTCTGAATAAGTCATTCCATTTCCTATGTCGTTTATAATGCTGTGTACCTAGGTAGGTAAGTGCCAGCCTCGGTAGCTTACAGTATAATAGTAGTGAACTAGAGCATATACACATCACACGAAGAACAAGAACAAATGTCTATCTTCGAATATATCCAACTTCTCAAGCTATGTAATGAATCAAAAGCGAACGTCTCATGTTCTCATGTCTGAGATCAAATACTTTTCCCTCTACCCAAAACGCCATAAATAATACACATATGCAACCATGGACATCCATGGACATCCATGAATCTGGATTCCTCCACTCACGCCTCCATGCGGTTTCCGCTCTCCTCGTTGAATTGATCACGGGCAGCTGTGAACTTCTCCGTTACTACATCGCACAGGTCCATCAGGTCATTGAAACCCTTCTCCAGAGCTTCGAGTGCGGTGGTGGAGTCTGAGTCGACCAGAGTTAGTACCTGTACTGTCCTTTCAAATGATATAAAGGAAGTAATAACATACCGGTAGTCTGGATACGAACGTTCATCTTCGGGTCTGAGGGGTGGGGAATGGTATATCCGCAGAACTCGACAGCGGGGCTATATCCAAAGGTCAGAAACGATTCGGATTCCCTCTATATCATACGAAGTATGAGAATGGAGAATATCCGCGAGTGCATAGATATATATAGTCCCCGCAAATATCCCATCCACCTTCCAAGGTAGAAAAACTCACTTCTTCATAATGGCATAGCGCAGCGCATTACCCATAGTGTGACCCTCGCCCTCGAACTGGAAGGAAGCAGCGGTCTCGGTGGCGCCGGGGAGCTGTAGGTAGAAAACCCAGTGAATTAGTATTCATTTCTAGAATGGTAGAATGGGACAATCCATATATGCGGATTCATCTATTCCCGGCGTTGATTGAATGGGTATGGGTACGTACCACGACAATCTGCTTCTCGTCCAGGGTGACTTCCTGGGGGACTTGCTCGACTTGTTGTTCGGCGTCCATCATGGACTGGTCTTGGTCTTGGGAGTGGACTGAGCCAGGCATTTTGGGTGGTTTGCGGTTGGTTGGTTGCTTGTCTAGGGCGTGGAATTGGGGGTGTGTGGGCAGGAGGTGGTTTGCTTGCTGTGTTGGGGATATGGCAACACAGAGGTTTGCTGTTATCGCTAAGACTTGGATTGGTAGTTCAGTCGGAATTTGAGGGCCGAATTTGCGCAATGCTGGATCTTCCAGTTGGAGGTATCGCGCAGAAAAAAAGGCGGGTTATCGATAGTCGGGTCTCACCGCCTGCTCTTTTTATCATCTATATGGTTTTTCTACAGTATTTAGATGTTGACATAAGTACAGTAGAGATTAATGTTATTGCTGCTTCTTTCTTCTTTCTATCTATGAAGGTGCCCTTCTAATGCCAGATTTGCTTTTTTCTGTTTTGGATTGAATTCGCCTAGTATGATTACCTAGGTATCCGATGGCAGACAAGAAGCCCTATTCTAATAGCTTGGACTGGCGCAAAGGATAAGATCATTGTCCGAATCTTGTGATCCTATAGTTAGGAAATTCTTGTTAAAACGGCTTGGCTCGAGCCTACCGTTGGGTTCACATACCTCTTATCCCGGCCTATCCAATAGAGTTAGGGTTTCGCCTAACCCCAATATCTACATCAGATTTTACAGGTAACACGATCAGACAACGGATGCGCTTATAGATAGGAAAAGGAAGCGCACGCTATATGTATAGAGGGCTCAGATGAATGGAGTGTACGGAGTATAGGTGGTAGTTTAGCTAGGACTAGCAATTGTAGGTATATGCTCAAGACAAGTGTAAAAGGCTAGACCGCTTAGAGTTCGTGATATGTCCTGATCAGCATTTTCAGGCTGTCAAAAGATATTTGTCAGACATGCACGAACCCCTGCGCCCTCGAACTCCAATGAAACAAGTGTGGGCCGCTTTGATTCAAGTGGCAGACCACGCAAGTTAGTGTGTCGGTAGATTGGCTCCGTGCACTAGTGAGCAAACTGAGACCGTGCCATGTTTTCTTTTTTCGGAGGGGTCTGGGAGATTGGTGTTGGATACTGCCCCTGTCGATATAAGCGCCCGCGGCGCCGTGTTTGACAACGGATGTGACTGAGATGTGATTAGAGATATCCAGATACCCATGGTACTGTGTACTGTAAGCTGTAGACTGTAGACGTAGACTGTACGGACAAAGAAAGAGACAAAAGAAGTGGAATATCTCCAAACACACAGTGTCTCAGGAAAGTGATACGTGCTCCACTCAAGTATCAGGTACTTTGGGGGGAGGCGCCACAGCTCACTGATTCCCCTCCTTGTGCCTCTGGAACATCGTACCTGGTACTTTTCCCCCTGGATCTCTCTCTTTTTATCCTCACCTTCACCTCCAGCATCTGGTAACTCTCCGGTGATCCCACGTTCCCAGCCGATGCTCTCCTTGCGTGTGACGGGGATCTGAATACTTCCGAAAACTTCATCATGTCGACCGCAGTGGCTTCCGTGGCTCTGTCCTCTCCGCATCCGCACCGCAACCCGAGTCCACGAAACTTGCCGGCTCCTAGTGCTCCTTCAAATTCATCTCCCTCCCGGATGTCCACAAGTCCCCGAGATGGTCCGGCCGCAAAGGGCTCTCCGACCGAAAAGAATGGTCCCGCATCTCCGTAAGTCCGGCCCAAACCCATTGCGAGCAACTACTGATGCTGTCCAGATCCCAAGGAGGCCCCAGAATCACAGTGAAAAAGGAACCCGGATCGCCACCGCGCATGCAGAGTCGCCCTCGTCCCCGGAAATTGGATCTCTCGACAAGCCTTCCATCCTCCAGCGGTTTAACCGTGCGCCCCCCGGGAGGGCCGATGACAGCTCGCGATGGTGTGACGATGCAAGACGTAGGCCTGGCGTGTCTATCGCCCGGCTTTCAGACCCACGATCCCATCATGCGGGAGCAGCTGCAGCGCAGCCTCTCCGTGCGGGATCAACAGCGATCGATAATCGAGCAGCGCATGCAGAGATCGGCCAAGGATGATGGTCCGGACGGAGTAAAGCCATCGGAGTCGGGGCTCATGGGCATGCCCAAGGGAACTTCCAAGCGACGACCTCCGCCAGGCTTGTCCATTGTTCCTCCATCCGCCTCTCAGTTCGCAAACGAGCGGGTGATCCAATCCGCACCGCTACACCAGACTTTCACTGGGCGCTACCAGCCGCAGCCACTGACACGCCATGTGGTCAACCAGAGCCCGACTCTGGGCTCAACCTCGCACATGCATCAATTGCCAGCCACACAGACCAACAACCGTCTTCCTCCCCTCTCCGATGTCTTTGGATCGGATGCATTGGGTCGCGACCGGGACTCAGGTCCCGCCAATATTCACCTGAACGCATCTAGCACAAACTCCTCGCAATCTAACACCCTGGCACCGATGCCTTCTCCCGGACTTCCTCCCAGCGTGTCCCACACCCCCAGCCGACCCCGTGAGTACCGCTCCGCTGAGGAGGCCGTGCAGGAGATGTCCGGCGGACGGGAGGAATTGCTGCCACGCATCGTGCATTATGGAGGCCACCAGCCACCCACCCCACCATCGCCCCAGATCATCCACGCGGGTCCCAAGACTGCCCCAATGGCCCCGGAGCCTCCACCAGCCCCCGGTGCGCCCCCAGCACACGGCATGTATCTTCCCACAGATGTCGCAGGACGCCGACGCCCTCGAAGCGAGTACGAACGTGACAACGGAAGCCCGCCTCTAGGCAATGGCCCAGACTCTCAATATCGGCCAAACCCAGCTTCCACGGCCGGACCCCAGACATCATTCCCGGGACCGTTCGGCGCAGGAAGAGACTCGCCGGAGACACAGCGGAGAAAGAAAGATGAATTCCTGGGTCTCTGTGCTCGCGCCTGGGACCTTTTCCACTCGTGATACGACCTCGCTTTGTGCTAGTCCGAGCGAATGTCTTGCCAGAGGTCTGCCAGTCTCAAGCAATGATGGAACTTGCTTGGGCTTATTTATCTGTGATCGACCAGTAGTCCACATACATCTGATGGATTGGCTGCATTACCAAGGCTGCTCGGTTCCTTAATCCTCCTGATCTACAAGTCCGGCATTCATTGGTCTACATGGCAAGTCCAGTACCAATTGTAATCCTGGACACACGTGCATACACGCTACATCCCCGACTCATCCTGGACGATCGAGCCGGGGGATTCCCTATCATATTCAGAAATGATGCTTGCATTTCTTTCATGTCATCTATGCTACGACAGTATTCGCAGGGTCTACTATATGTACTCTCCTGGAAAACCTTTTGCTTTTTGCTTTGGCATTTTCTATTTGCTCTGGGCGTTTGGGGTTCTGTGATTCGCAATATACCTTTTGAATTTGCTTTTGGGGATAAAGCATTTTGGTAATGAGACCTTCTCATAATTCATATATATCGATCTGTTTTGGTTGTCTTTTCTTCTTTTCTTCTTTTCTTCTTTGCAGACAATACCATTATCAGTCCTGGATTTGGTAATTTTAATGCATTTTTCCTTTCATTGGACTGAGCTACTGTATACATATCGAATAGATGAAGAGTAGAATATGCACAATTCTGACATTCAAATCAATACTCACAGATATAACAAAATACCCACCTAACTTCCCTACTCCAACCTTCTCCTCTTCCCGGCATTAGGCATGCCCCCATCCTCCTCCCCAAATCCCCTCCGTTCCCAAGGCATCTCCTTCCTCTCCTTACTAGCCATCTTCTTCCTCCTCCGCTCAAGCGCTTTCCCTCTCTCCCGACTCCCCATCTCCCCAAACTTCTTCTCGAGAACCTGCTTCTTCAAATCAGATTTCTTAAGATAATAAGGCGTAGCCTTCTTCCCCTCGCGAATCATCTGCTTCTCCCGCTTCTTATGCTCAGCCTGCACATCCATTTCGCGCTTCTTATTCGCTGCAGCCCGCATCCTGTCCTGCGCAGACCGGATCTGCTGCTTGAGTACCTCCTTCTGTTCAGCGTTCTTCGTTTTGGAGAGTTGTTCTTTCAGCTCTCTCAATTCTGAGGCTCGGTACTCGTCTAGAAATGCGTAGGCTTTTCCGCCGGACGGGTGTTTGCCTGCGCCGCTGTGGCCCATGACTGCTGCGTCGAAGCGCGGGTCTCGGGCTTTGGGCGCTGGGGGTAGTTCCACTGCTGTTCGTCTGCGGGTTACGGCGCGTTTGGAGGATTGTTCCATCGGGGCGTGCTTAGAGGCTCGTTTCTTTTCTTTGGCTTCGCGTTCTTTTTCTTTTTTCGTGAGAGCGGAGGCTTTGAGTTCGCGTGCTTCGCGGAGTTTGGCGCGGATGTCGTCTAGGGTGCTTGTTGCGTTTGTGGATTCTGGGTTTGAGGCTTGTCTGTCTTTGCGCTTGTTTTTGCTCATTGAGGCTTGGGCTTTGGCTAGGGCGCCGAAGGAGATGTTGGCTAGGCTGGATTTGAAGTCTTCGCCGTTGTCACCGTCGGAGTCTGAGTCTGAGGCTTCGTCTGATTCTTCGTTGTCGGAGGCGGAGTCTGAGAGCTTTTTGCCTTCGGCTTCAGAGTCATCTGACTGCTATTTACATTGTGAGTAGGGTGCTTGTGAAAGGGGATCATATATCATACATCTGATTGGATGTCGTCGGAGTCAGGTCCAATGCCCTCCTGTGAAACATCGTCGTCGGAGCCCGAGGCCTCTGAGTAGACCTCCTCATCATCAGGACGAGCACGCACTCTGCGATTCAGTATATCTGAAACAGCCATTTTGCTGGTTGATTGTAAACCCCGGGAGAAGACGAAGTGATCGACCCAAAAAAGAAAAATATTGCCGGTCAGGGCGGTGAGTGCGATAAGACTGATTAGATATTTTTCGCGATCCCCCGATGCGCGAGACAGACCAACACTCATTTGCATTTCGTTTAACCCCATGTCCCTGCGTTCGTTGCGGTCTAGAGACCTTTTGCATTTCACTCCCACACACTGGGCATTGTGCTACCCTCAACCTTCACCCCAGGCCACCAATCAAGTACGCAGATAGGACGCCCAACAGGTGTACTGTTTCTCTAACATTGATTGTGAATAGTATTCTTCGAAACTGTCTCTCGATTTCAGAACTCGCTCGAAGTTCTCTACCCTCCTCTCATCGCGTTCAAAATCATTCAAGCTGTCTCGCGCAAACAAAAAACCGAAGCGTGCGTCTGACGCCGCGGACTCCAATTACCTGTCCAACACCCCACAGTATGCGATTTCGGCATACAATGCAGTGAATATGGGCTCTGGATCATCACCAATGGGTCAGGGTGGTCCGTCACCAACCCCGTATAACTCCTGGAACCCTTCATCGTCAAGAAATGTGTATCCCAGTGTGGAGCATGCGGATTATCCTATACAAGCCAATCCCCCACTACACTGGGCTCCGTCGCCAGCCACAAGTTCGACAGGTGGCCAACGTCAAAATGCACAGAACAATTCGCCTCGCGCTCATCAGTCTCGAGCCAACCGCAAGCGCATGCCGCATCTCCAACCCCCAATACCGTCAAGGCCAGACCAAGTCCCCCACAACCCGTTCAACGGTCTACCACAGAACATGATGGACATGAACAATTTCTTTGCCATGGCACAAAGCATGCCCTGGATGGGCCAGGGTCTCGACGGCGCAGCAACTCCCTTCTTCCCTCCTCCTATGAATCCTGCGCTTTCTTACCAGAGTGTTCGGCCGATGAGCACCATGGCTGGACTCCCACAACAACCGATCATACAACTACCCGACTCTCGAACAAAAAGATTGCCAAGCAGAGAATCCACGCCACCTGTTAAAGTCCCGGCTCCGACACAGGCATACATGCAGCAATCATCACAGGAGCCGCAGCAGTCTTCTTCCAAGCGTCCACTCCTTATCATCCTCGATCTCAATGGCACTCTCATCTTCCGGAAAAAGCGAGTTTTCCCGCCGAAGTTTGCTAGACGCGCTGGTCTGGACCAATTCCTTGCCTCGCTGATCAAGAATTACTCCGTCATGATCTGGTCGAGTTCTCAACCGCCGACAGTGAATGCAGTCTGTGAGAAGCTATTCCCAGGCGCCATGCACGACAAGGTAGTCGCATTATGGGGGCGTGATAAATTCGGCCTCACCCAGCGCCAATACAACAACAAACTACAGGTCTACAAACAACTCCACAAAGTATGGGAAAACCCCAGCATCCAGGCTGCGTTCCCAGGCAACGAAAGTCTACGCGATGTCCCATCCGCACCAGCTTCTACTAATCGAAGAGCTATGGTGCAAAAGGCATCCGTCCAGCAAAAGGCACAGGCCGACACAAAGAACCTCCAACCCGGGCACAGATGGGACCAAACAAACACCATCTTGATCGATGACAGCAAGCTTAAAGCCCTCAGCGAGCCGTTCAACATCCTCGAGATCCCAGAGTTCACCAACGACCCCAAAATCGACGAGTCAACTCTGTTCGCGAAGATCCTCCACCGCCTCGACATCCTCTCCCACCATGATGACGTGAGCAAGGTCCTCCGCGTATGGAACGAGCGCGTCGACAAAAGCGAAGGCAGTATCCTCGATCTGGACCTTGGTCCCATGGAAGACCTCGATCTAGAAGATGGCGGAATGACTCTTCCCACTGAGCCTAGCGCCAGTGCCAGTACCAGTACCGATACCACTGCTCCCCGCAACAAGAACCAGCCGCAAACGCAAACAGAAGAGGAAAAACAAGAGCAAAAGGCTGCTACCCGGAAAGCAAAGAAACAACGTCAAAAAGCTCGCAAGGCCCAGACACAGGCGACGAAAGATCTAAAGGCTGCTGCTGAGGTTGCTGCCGAAATCGCCGACCTGGATATTGATCAGAATGCTTCTGCTGTCACTGCTACTACTGGTTCGAATGAAAAGCAATGTGCTCCTCGTCAGCACAAGTACAGTATCCGGCAAGGCAAGCAAAATGCCATGTTCCAAGACTTGCCGGATATTGTCGATGGTGCTATGGACTCTGTTGCCCCAGAAACCTCTTCTACCTCTGCTTCTACTGCCACTGTTACGGCCGAGATGGATTCAAGCATTACTGAAGCTGGTGAGTCGAGATCACACACTGAAACCGGAGCGGGTGATGAGGATGCGGATACAGCCACACGGGGTTCTGAACCGGAGTATCAGCCTCGATCACCGTCGCCAGTTACTTCGGTTGCTTCGGAGAACTCTCTTCTTGATCGGCTTGAGGAAGGGCTTGGGATGTCGAAGCGTTGAGTGGGCTGAGTTGTCTGTTTGATTATTCTGGCGAAGATGAAGGAAGAAGAGCTCATAGGTGTTGGGTTATGTTATTCATGTCTTATTCTTTTGTTCTTAGGTACATATTTAAATAATATTTGCATAGCCATTATATACCCTGTGCCTACCTATATTTTCTACACTCTTGAAGTTGTTTGTTTTGATACATATCGCACAGCCGTGTAAACACTTAAGCGAGTTTGGTGAGATTTGGAATTCACTAGCTTAAGAGGCACATTTGGTATTATACCAGCTGCTAAGAAAGTTACTTGTCATTCTACTTGCTTCTATATTGTTCTTAGTTGTTGTATGTAAATGTTATAGATGTTGAGAGCCCCACACCACGTGACCAGGCAAATCTTTCCTCCGAACGCCGAAGCGGCCGCCATCCGCACAAAATTCTCGCCAGCCCCTCTCCTTCCTTTCTTTTTTCCTCTTCTCATCATCCACCCCTTACATTAAAAATGGCATTCGGAAAGCTTTACGGTCTGCCCGTACGTTTCCTCCTCTCTTATTGTTTAGCTCCTCTCTGACATTGTCTAGGACAACGGTCGCACCCTGGCCATCCTGGTCGCTGCTAAGCACAACGACCTCGACTTGGAGCTGGTCAAGACTGAGGCCAACTCTGCCGCCACCTTCAACAGTAGCGCTGAGTACCGCAAGATCAGCCCCGTCGGCAAGATCCCTGCCTTCGAGGGTGCCAACGGCTTCACTCTCTCCGAGGTCATCGCCATTGCCGTCTATGGTAAGTGAAGACTTTTCCCTCTGCACCAAAACACCACAAGCACCTCCAAGTCATCATCTTTTATGATGAGTTCATTTATAGTTATCCCTGTCAGAACAATACTGTTGAGGAACACGCACTCTGAAAATATTTGGCTACCCCGCTTTGGGAGAAAAAATTGGACGCCCCTTTTTTTTTTCTTCCTTTGACCACATTGTGCCATTGGCACCCCTGATTGCTCCATTCATGGATCCACTCAAGTTTCAGAGCAACTCGACTAACCTGTCCTGTTCATAGTCACCTCCCAGAACGAGAAGACCACTCTCCTCGGCAAGACCAAGCAGGACTATGCTTCCATCCTCCGCTGGCTCTCGTTCGCCAACGCCGAGGTTCTCCCCAAGCTCGGCGCTTGGTACCGCCCCCTGATGGGTCTCGATGGCTACAACAAGAAGACCGTCGACGAGGCTGCCAAGAATGCCCTCAAGGCCCTCGCTGTCCTTGAGTCCCACCTCACCGCCAACACCTTCCTTGTTGGTGAGCGTATCACCCTGGCTGATATCTTCGCCGCTTCCCTCCTCACCCGCGCCTTCGCCACTGTCCTTGACAAGACCTTCCGCCAGGAGAACCCCGCCGTTACCCGGTGGTACAACACCATTGTCAACCAGGACTCTTTCAAGGCCGTCTTCCCCGAGCCCAAGTTCGCTGAGGAGTGCATCAAGTACACTCCCCCCAAGAAGGAGGAGAAGCCCAAGGCTGCTGCCCCCGCTCCCGCTGCTGAGGAGAAGCCCGCCGCTGAGGCCCCCAAGCCCAAGCACCCCCTCGAGGCTCTCGGCAAGCCCACCCTCATCCTCGATGAGTGGAAGCGCCAGTTCTCCAACAACGACCCCCGCACTGAGGCCATGCCCTGGTTCTGGAAGAACTTCAAGGCCGATGAGTACTCCCTCTGGAAGGTTGACTACAAGTACAACAACGAGCTCAAGCTCACCTTCATGGCCAACAACCTGATCGGTGGCTTCCACGCCCGTCTTGAGGCTTCCCGCAAGTACCTATTCGGTGCCCAGTCCGTCTACGGTGTCAACTACGACTGCATTGTCAACGGTGCCTTCATGGTCCGTGGCCAGGAGTGGGAGCCCGCTTTCCAGGTCGGCCCCGACTGGGAGGGTTACACCTACACCAAGCTCGATGCCTCCAACGAGGCTGACCGCAAGGTCATCGAGGACATGTGGGCTCAGGACGTCCCCGTCACCGTTGACGGCAAGACCCTTGAGTGGGCCGACGGCCACGTCTTCAAATAAGCGTGTCACCCCTCTCATCTTTAAAATTTCATCCCCAAATACCCCGAATGACGTGTGCGAGACCAACGCCGACGCATCCCGTCTATTCTCTTCTTTCCTCTGCCTGAAATCTTTTGGGATTCTAAAATACCTCCCCTTGACTTATGGTCTTACGTGTTTATGTTGACTCACGTTCACGTTTATGAATACGTTGCGATGCGGAATGATCCGACTCTTGCTCTGGATACCAGATGCTTGGTCGATGCTAGTTTAGCTCTAGCAATGAAGAACAGAGATAACTCTGATTTCTGTGCATATTTTCTCTGTTTATTCAGTAAAGTACTCCGTAGTTTGATCAAGTAGAAGTTCATAAATCAGGTGATCCAGGCTTATTAGACTTTAACGCGGTGTATGTTGTGTCCCTGTTCCTTGGTTGAGACTGAGATGTCTCTTGATGCATTGTGTTAGCTGTTGTCAACCTGTATTACTCGTTATGTAACTTGTCTGCCTGTCCGGGTGTGGTTGATACTGAGATGGCCCAATAATCCCTTTGGAGTTTCGTGCCTCCTTCGTCTGGCCTACCCTCGGGACTCGAATTATGCATTCAATTGCTTAATCCTTGTAGTCACATCATTATTAAATGAATTGAGTAAGTATAATAGCTTTCCTACCAGTATGTTGAAGTTGGTAGTTCGGTGCTCGGAGGAACTGATATTGCCAGGTCACATGACCCGCAAAAAACATGACACTCCGGAGTCCATCTATAACTCCAACACGGAAACCCCAGACCAATTGCCCACAAACCACCCATCATGGCGTGGCATAAACCCAACATCGCACAAGCGATGCAATCCCTCCGCCTAACATCTCTCCCAAAACCAACCTCCCGCCTCTCCACCCTCCCCATCCACCAAACCCGCAGCCGCCGCAGCTACGCAACCGAAGCCGAAGCAACCAAGACACCAGCCCCAGCCGCGCAAGAAATCAACTTCGGAACCTTTACCCAAAAGCCCGCAAGAATCATTCCCGCCTCACCATCCTACTTCTCCGGCAGCCCCCGCTTCATCGACCACGTCCTGAAACTCGAAACCCTGCAAGCGAAATACGCCTCCCTGCCCACAGTAGTAGCAGGCGAAGCACCCCGCATGGCCTGGTTCAAGCTCGCTCAGTTCCGCGACTATGTGGGTGAGCCAGTCCCCATGAAGAAATACAAATCCCTCGTCAAGATCCTGCAGCGCCTCAACCGCATCCAGCCGGACCTTGTTCCCGGCGAGGTTCGCGAAACGCTGAATTCCTTCTTGCGTCCTGGAAACCCGTACGCGGTGCAGAACGAGCCCCCGACTCTTGATGAAAATGGGCGTGCGCGCGGTAAGGGAAAGAGGAAGGAGTCTTCGGCTGTTGTGCAGCTTGTTGAGGGGGAGGGTGAGGTGTTGATTAATGGGAAGAGCCTTGTTGAGGCGTTTAAGCGGGTTCATGATCGTGAAAGTGCGCTTTGGGCGTTGAGGTGTACGCAGCGTCTTGATAAGTATAATGTTTGGGCTACTGTTCGTGGTGGTGGTGTTACTGGTCAGGCGGAGGCTGTTACGTTGGCTATTGCTAGGGCTTTGATGGTTCATGAACCCGGGTTGAAGGGTGTTTTGAGAAAGGGTATGTTTTCCTTCTTCCTTTTTTACCATCTCACGTTTTCTGGTATGGGTTTCTCTTGGGATATCAATTGCTAACTTGTTTTCTTTTTAGCTGGTGCAATCACTGTCGATGCCCGTCGCGTCGAGAGGAAGAAGCCTGGTCATGTCAAGGCCCGCAAGATGCCTACCTGGGTCAAGCGTTAAGGGACGGATCTTGCTCTTTTCTGTTTCCCTCTTGTACACCGAGCATTTTGGTCTCTTTTTTCCCAGTTTCCTTTCCTTTTGTTTCTACACTGTATTATTCCACCAGCCATGGCACCCCAAGTTCGCGACTTGTTTTATATCCTGTACTCTCAATGCATATGGGGTCGATTTCAAGGTTTATTGAATTGAATATGATGAACTACATTCTTGGTTCAATGTAGTGGCACTATACCGTGACTAGCAGTAAACCATTTCTCCTTCCAAGCCTAACAATTTGAGGAGTGAGATTGACACCCAATAGTAACCAGACCACAAAACTACTAGATGGGCAACAAGCCTCAGCGGGTCCGATCAATATCAGGCTCGATCTAAATCTTCATCTCCACCTTTCAGCTCAAGACAAAGATCAGGCACAATAGGAATACGAGATATACAAACTCGGATCGAACTCTCTTTCACATACATCAAATTGCAACCCCACTACAACCAAAGCCAAAGCCAAAGCAAAGTCCGAGAACTCAAATACATAGGTATCGTCCCTCCTTTGCGCCGGTCTTTCCTTTTCCTTTTCCTTCCCATTCATTTTGTCCACGTCCAATGCAAGTCAGTGCAATACAGACATAAAATAAGATAACAGAAATAAGAAAAGGAGATAGAGAATAGAGAACGTGGTAGGATCGAAATGAAACAACGTAAAACCAAAACCAGAAAACCACCTCGAAAACACAGAAAGATGAGACATGACGCTATGTACAACTCGTGAGATTCGTCATTTCAGGATATAGAGGAATAGATAGTGTAGGAGAGTAGGAAGGTGACGACACGAGGACCATGAAGCATCACAGACACAAAAGGTATAACACAGTGAGGCGAGGGTATGTCATAGAGAAGACAGGGCAGCGAATAGCGACCCAACTCAAAATAGGAAGAGTCGATCTCTCTCTTTCTCTTTCTCTTTCTCTTTGCAGAAAGTACAGTCAGCCCTAGTTTTGGGCAGTGACAGATTGTCCAATATCACATCGGGGATGGCGCGACGCTAGCGAGCAATAGCCCACTCTGTGGCGCTTGGGACTTGATTTGCGAATAGTCTCCGATCGCTGCCCAGCCGTGTCTTGGCGGAACTTGGAGTATGCGATTTGTGATGCGACTTGTCTGCTTTTTTTCAAGGTTTTCTCTACTTTTTCTTTTTTCTTTCCCTCCTGCTGGGCTCATGGGCGAGGTGCCGGGGCTGTGGGATCCGGGAGTTCGGGTCTGCTATCCATCAGATCGAGGCATTGGCCTAGGACTATATAGATGGACTTGGTTAGAGATGAAGTGGTGAAGGTGGTAGTGGTGCACTATACCGGATAAGATCTCTTCTTCCCAGATGCCCATTTGGTAGTCTACCAGACCGTGCTGTTCCAGTTGATCGCACAGTTGAATCAAGTCCTTTCCCATGGCCTCTAGACGATCTCGACGTAGTAAACTGATATGCGACGGATGCCCGGCGATCACATTCAACACCAAATCCTTTTGCTTTTGACAGAATGCCAGCCAGCACAGGTTGAAGTCGTTCCAGAGCTTGAGGCGGTCGGAGTAATGAGTGCTGTCATCGCGGAGGAGCCCTAACGTGTCACGTAGTTAGTCTCCATGTCAGATTATGCTTGCATGACGCGTGCCTGCAGGGAAACATGAAGGTCATAAAAGAGACATCTACCCCCAAGGGCCTTGCCGGAAGTGCGACTTCTGTGCTACGGCCATAGTAAATGGCCGAAGGTCTCTTGTTCTTTTCTCGAACTTTTTACTTCACATAAAGGAAACACCAGTGGACAATCCTTACCTAGATCCCGTGCATTAGTCACAAGCCATTCAGAGATTTCCAGCAGCAATCCACCAGCCTCTACCAACCTTCCAGCTCGCGTGTGGTCGAAAGTGCGGCGCAGGACTCGTTGGTATCGACCCACGGCCTCCTCCAGATTCGACGGATCGGACTGCAGTGACGGCTCGGGTTCCAATCGGCTCATAGACTCGGACCCGATAGTGAAACCGGTTGGAAACTGGGTGGTTGGGCGCATGGGGCCCGGTTGGTTATAAGGCATCGGGTTGAGATACGGCGAGAGCACTGGGACCCCAGACCCTGCAGAATCCTCAAAATACTGTGGAACGGCAAATTGATTTAGCGCCTCAATCGCTGCAGACTGCCGTGTCTGGTACTGTGGAACATCCTCGAAGGGTCCTTGGGTTGGACCCTGCTGGTTGAAGTACAGCATGGAATCATAGAAGGCTTCTTGTCCTCGTCGCCTGGGAGCTCGCTGTGCTTGCTGTTGCTGCGCATAGTCCTGGTACTGCAATTCGTTGGTCTGCAAGGAACCGTAGCTGCCTGTGTATCCGTAGTCGTAGGACATTGGGGCTTGCTCCGGTTGCGACATCCCCGTTGGGTCTCCACGTGGTTGTGTGGCCTCAAAACGATCGGTTGCACGGCGAGGTGCTCTGCGAGCATTTGACGACTCATGCTTCATTCGTTGATCGCCATCCATTGGGTTCCAGGATCGTTGATCCAGGGCCCAATGCTTGGGGGAGAGCGGCGGGCTCACGTAGGATGCCAGCTTGGGTGGTTGTGTAAGAATCAAAAGAAATGTTGAAGGTCTTTTTCTTCTCTCTGTGTTGGGGAAAGTGTAGAATGGAACCAGATGTGATCTTGGTTCAAATAGACATTCAAATCTTGTCCTCTGGCGCAGGCGCGACGGAATTTAAGAATAAACAGGTCACAGTAACAGTAACAGTAACAGGAAACAGAAATAACAGGAATAGATACCAAGCTTAGGCACAAATTAGGTAGATATAGCGAAAAGCGAGTGGATCAAAGATCTAGAGCCGAGTATGGGATCAAGTCACAGTCCTCACGGGTCATGGTGTGGATAGATCGAAGATCTAGCCAGCAGTCAAGGAGAAGAAGCCAAGGGGGAAGAAACTAGGGCTTCATAGGGAACTATACCTCTCTCGGACTACGAAAATATACATCAGGATCGACGCCTAAACTCCATTCGGTCTCTAATCGGGAACCCGGTGTTCTGGTTCCTGGCTCCCGAATGTTTTGCGTTATAATAAAGGGGGTTCAGCTGTCGAGGTCAGGTGGACCTTTCTTTGCTTTCTCTGGTGTGTAACCCTCTCTGGGGCTGATAGTGAAAGACTTGAGACAAGTCCCCTTGCGTGGGGGGGAAAGAAAAAAAATCAACAAAATCAACAAAATTCCTAAAAAGGGGGCGCTTTACATTCCGGGGAGCTTAGCCGACTCGAAGTGAGGCTGATGAACATAGTGGACGAATCTATTTAATCGTGTGGGCCTTGTTTGCCAAAGTCCTGACGGGCACCTACATACGTCAGTTTCCTCTTTCTGATTGCTCAGGTATCGGGCAAAAGCAATTATAAGTATTTGTATTAGTATTACTATTGATGAGTATTTGAGTATATGTTATAATATATATACATATATTTATATGTATTGTCATTGCTATTGCTCTTGTTATTGTTTACGCGTTCCTACCCCAGGTGGAGATGTGATCTATCCAAGCCCTAATCCGACACTATGGAAGAACCCACTCGCGGATGCGACGACGATCCCGATTGACATGTACCTAAATTGTTGTCCTGGATCCGGGAAATGGCACTTTCGTCCTTTTGTCACTTTGTCACTATTTGCGCCCTGGATCTACTGTCCACTCATAGGCTGAGAGCCTACACCGAAACAGGACAGGATGATGCAATCTCCTGCAGATGTGCGACGTCTGGAAATAAAACAATAGAAGATCGCCCGATACAATAAGACAGATCGGGACTCGGGTGGACTCGATCCCATTGGTATCAACTAGCCCGACATGTTGGATAGACCAGTAGCACATAACACGATCCTGGAACTGGTTTCATGCTTACACCTGTTGTCATGATCATGCAGATCTACAAATAGTGTAGAGATACTCAACGTCCATTCATCAGTATACTACACACTACACTCTAAACCCTAATCAACAGAAGGTAGGATCATACCACACTCTGTTTCAGATATAGATATCTTCAAACGTGTCAGACAAAGCAGCTAATCTTACTAAAAGCTTGGGCTGGTGTCTTCCAGAACCCAACGGGCGCTTTTAGGTACAAATCTCGGCTGAAACACTTACCCACCCATATTTTTATGAAATTGCTACCCTGGAATGTATAATGTAGAGATGAATAGAGAGCGTAACATGACACCCCCTTCTCCTTTCTTCTTCTCCTTTCCTCTCTTTACTCTTCCATTTTCTCCCCATCTCTCCCCTACCCTCTTTTAAAACAATAACCAAAGCCTGTGCCTCGCTCTGTACGACTTCCCTCTCGGACTGCAGATCCAGCGAATCCAGTGCCTCGGAATTCCGAAATTATCGTCTCACCACTGCTCTTCCAGTCCAGTTTGCCAGTCGGGAGCACGGACGCCCCGACGCGGTGATGTATTGGAATGGAAAGGAAGATGGAAGAATTTGAATGGGATAAATATAACCAGTTCTGGGGCTATGTACAAGTGGGTATCTTATACTTCAGTTTTACCTTTTTACCTTTTACCTTTTACCTTTTGGTTTTCGTTTTCCGTACCGGCGTGGGTGCATGCATATTTAGCTTGTACATGTACATACACTGGGTACCGGGGACAGAGGCACGTTAGAAATATGCAACTAGGGGAAGGGATCGGGAAGGTGAGAATTGCTGTTAATACACTTGTTTTTATTTTAACTCTGCAATTTGCTGGCTCCAGTGTCGTAGTACTTAAGTTCGTCTCAATATGTTTTATAATCAGGTTGTATTTCATGCCTGGGCCTATTTCCATGGAGCTAGGGGCTTTGTTTGGGTGCCACATGTCCATAAGAGCCCTGCATAAGGCTTTTATTATGAGCCACAGTTCCTAATCGGCGCCAACCGCTATGTAAACAAACACTCACCGGCCATCTCTCTACCTGTTAATCCTCCTCCAAATAATTTACACACCAATAGCATTAACCGTGAAATACTTGTTGATGCTCAATGGCCTCTTTATCACAACCTATGCTACTCTCCACTACTTCAACGCTGATATATACGGCTCTCAGAATAACTAGACCGTTATCATTCGATTCTTCGCCAAATAAAATGGTGGTATGGAAAGCGAGGTCTTAGTGTCATGTTATCGACGCGTAGAACTACCGCGCCTGCGAAGTTTGTGAGGAATGTTCCTGGCGCTAAGAGCAGGGGTTTGATATAGTGAGTCATGGAAGACTGGTTTGAAATTAATCTGTGATTTTCACCTCTACTTCTTTATTAGCAATCTTCAATATTATGCAATACTTTCCCACTCAGTCTGGCAGCTAGGAGGCCAGCGGTGTCATTTAGGACAAGCATGTCCCTTTATATTCATCTTAACGTAGACTTGTTAGAAGCACAGACAATCCGAGACTTTCTTCGCACAAGATCAAAAGTAACATTGAGAGATATTGTCTCTTAAAAGAACTTCAACCAAAATGAGCGTGGCCAGGAACAACAGTCACAACTTCTAGGAGGATCGCCTAGCTTTGCAGAATCCGTCATCGCCGCACTCCCAGTAGCACAAATCGACTTCCGAATTACATTTGCTTGTCGCTTCAGCGGATGATTAGAAGATTGCTCAAATTCTTTCTCTGTTATGGTTCATGATATGGCTTGCATCTATAAAACTTGATTGATCGACGCGAACACCAGTAAGAGAGAGCGGTAAAGAATGCAAATAGGTGCATATTTGTACTGGTGACCGTATCCTATGATTTTGGGATCAGCTTCGAGTCCAGCAAACGATCTTGCTATGGGTCGGCATGTCAATGATCATACTAGCCAGTGGAAGCGAGGTAGTAGGACTTCAACATGAATGCAGCTCCGCCTGGGAAGTAAATTCTGCTTTACATTTTTGCTTTTTTTTAAAAAAAATCAGCAGCTGAAGTCTCAACGTCATCATACAGTCAATACCACAAATCCTAAGCTGAAGAAGTGCATATTTTGGTGGCGAGCTTCATGTTGATAAGGGTCTGATCTTTGCGGAATTACTCCATACGGGTTCATCGGGCTAAACAGCATAGCAAGCGGATCTGGGACCTATCCATATCTTAATCACGTTTTCCATAGTCCTTCAGACCTGCATACTGTAGTCTGGTGTACCAATAGAAGAGCAGATAAACCCGAGGGGAGGAACAATAACAAGTTTGGTGCTGGGGTATAAACATCTCAGCTGCGATTGAACCAGCACTAGAAGGAAATCTGCGTGGCTGCAGCTCAAGTATACCGAGGTATATCCAACTCCGATACAGCTACATGTATAACTGCCACTACGGCCACACACACTGCGCGCCCCCCACATCCACGGCATTGCTGCAGTTCGGTCAGGGATGTGCGTTTGCATTGTGGTTGCACCCGTACCCGACTCGTTGGATAGGAGTCATCCGGCCCACGAGACTGCAGCCCAGACGGAAAGAGAGAGAACTGGTGTAGCGTGCCCAGGTATGTTTGGATTTTGGGCTGAGTGAATGCGGGTGCGGAATGGGGTCGGTTCGGATGGGAATAGAGTGTTTCAGTCGCGGCTGAAACGGGAAGACATTGTTTTGGTGAGGCGGCAGTGGTGAATCGAATGGGGAAAGTGTAAATTTGTACCCGATGAATTGGGTAAGGACTGGGGTGTGGGTGTTGTCGTGATGTGTTGTAGAGGGATATGGCTGATACTAGACTCTGATACCTTGGGTTGAGAATATACTTTCCGATGTTGCTTTAGCCACTTGCTTCATGACTTTCTGCTGTAGAGGTAAGTAGGAAATGGCATAGACGCGTGGAAAGGAAAGGGAAATCCAATATCGATTCCCATACCGGGACTGAGAAATAAACTACACACACATCGCTGATCATTGAGTCATGTCATGTTGAGACCAAGGGAAACGGGAAAAATGTTCAATCGCAGAAACGAAAAACCCACTGAATACGATATATCCACTCAACCAGTGAGGTGGAAATCATATTTGATCTGGAACACAGTCAGCACTCGTACCCCCAAACAAATGAACATATAAAGGGTGACCTACTCAGCGTCATGCTCAGGCTGATATCCGTATTCTCCACCATATCCGTAAACTCCTCGAAGCTGATCTTTCCATCCTGATCCTTATCGGCCTCCATGATGGTCTTGTCAACGATCTGTTGCAGCTGCACGTCCTTCAAGTTGTTGCCAACCATCATCTTCAGCACGATGAAAAGCTCGCCGTTGGAAATATAGCCGTCGCGGTCGATGTCGTAAACTTTGAACGCGAAGCGCAGCTTCTCTTCTTTGTTACCCTTGGAACTAAATGCTGACAGACCGGTCACGAATTCCTGGAAATCGACATCGCCGCCACCGTCTTCGTCGAAGATGGCGATCATTCTGTGTGAAAGGATGTATTAGAGGATTGTTTATAGATGGTCAAGGTGGTGTGATATCCGGGTCACGAACCTCGTGGCGAGCGGGTTGGAAGACACTTGAGGGAGGGAAAGGAATTCATCGCGATCAATAGTACCGGAGGCATCCTATGAGTGTGTTAGTATGGAGAGACATTTCGACACTTGAACAGCTTGTCCAACCTTATCAAGCTTCATGAAGCGTTTGCGCAGACGGTCCACCTCATCTCTGTTGACTGTCGCTCAGTCAGTCACGATCGTTCCACCAAGAAGGAACCATATGCGACCGTGGCGAACTCACAGTTGGATGTAGACACAATGTTCTCGAAGAGCTGGGTAGTACCGACGGAGCCGCGGCGTCTCCGCGCATCGTAGATAGCAGCGGCGTTGGGTTCACTGGTTTGCTCCATGGTGACGAAACTGAAGTAACCGAAGGAGAAAAGGTCGAGTAGCGGGTTATGGAATGGACACAGGTGGAACTGAACAATAAAAAAACCAAGACTGATGTGTTGACGAGGCAAAACACAAGATACCAAAGAGGAGAGAATCGCCAAGGGCGGAGAATCTGATATCGCCCAGCCCCGCACTAACCTCTTCCGGACAGGCAAGCGAGCCCCTGAGGCCGTGCACTCGGCCAAAACAGGCCACCGCCGGCTGACATTGCAACGTCAACCCAACCTCCAGCCGTGAATCACCCCAACTTCAGCCGTCAATATCTCCCCCTTCCCCATCGATTTTCATCTCAAAAATACGACTACGAGAAAGCGCATGACCAGGCCTTTCTGCTGATCCCCTTTTTACCTGGCCCTCGCCCATGGTCGTTGCCCTATTGCGCGTCCCGACGCTATGACTCGGTATGGGGGCATGGGGAGGACGCGCCCGAAAAAGCTCACCTCCAAGGCGTCCATCCCCGTCGTCCGCGAACACGAGATCGATGCCCTCGACGAAGACATCCAGAGCTCTCTACAACAGATTGAAACCGGCGTCGAAAAGGCCGAGGAGTCGGTGAGTCCCTCTTTTCGCACTAATTTAGCCTCATCCCTATCCCCGTCACGTGACATTATCGCCAAAATGACACGAGATTTTCACCCCAATATAAAATGGCCCATGCTGACCCAGACCGCGTCTAGGAAATCCATCTGCAAATTGCAATCAATGCCACCGCCCAGGGCAAAGTAAACGAGGCACACATTCCCACTCCCGAGACCATTCTCAGTAATCTCCAATATGACGAACTCTACCCTCCCATATTCTCGCAACCTGCGACATACATTCGCTTCTCCTCGACTGTCGAGGACTGCTGCGGATGTCCGTACAACATGACCGAGGAGGACGATGTCTTCCTCAAGATCATGAACCAGAAGCGCGACGCGTCGGCGATGCCATGCACTGAGGATATCTTTGAGGAAGTCATGAACTTCTTTGAGGAGACAGCGCAGACCAAACAGCCGTATGCTTCAGTCGATAACCCACCAGTGCTGTCGTTCGCCGACATGCAAGATATGATGGACGCCAGCTTAGAAGATTCCATGAAGCCCTTTGCGAAGGAAATATATGAACACTGGAAGTCGCGTCGGATGGCCGTGCAGAACAACCCCCTTGTATCACAGCTCAAGGTAAGTTGCCTCGCATGCCATTGGCGATCCTGCCCAACTAACATACCGCAGTTCGAAACCGGCCAAGACACCGATGACAGCGATCCCTTTGTGTGTTTCCGTAGACGTGAGGTCCGCCAGATCCGCAAGACCCGTGGTAGAGATGCGCAAAGCGCAGAAAAGCTGCGACGTCTCCGCAAAGAGCTGGAAGATGCTCGCGAGCTCGTTGCTTTGGTGCGCCAGCGTGAGATTGCCCGCAAGGAGATGCTCTCCATGGAGAAGAAGATCTTCGAGCAGCGTGCTCAGGTGAAGGAGATGAAGCGCAAGCTCAACGTCAAGGACGACGACGAGGATCTCATCAACCAAAAGGTAAGCGTCGCTGCTCTGGCCGCCAAAAACGTGCATATGCTGACCTATCCTCACAGCCCAAGAAGAGAGTGCTCGAGATGCCTCAACAACGTCCCAATGCTCCCCAATTGCGCATGCCTCTCAAGGCTGGCCTTCAGGGCGCAGAGGACCTGCAGCTCTTGGAGGAAGTTCAGGCAGAGAAAGAAAACGAGATTCTGCGCGATATCAAGCAGAATATCACTAAGCACATCAAATGGAACGAGGGATATGTGGATCACACTCGTGCACCACTATCACCATCCCCCGAAAGGACATTCGATGTGGCAGCCTTCCGACCTGCTTTCACAGCGCAATTGCCCACTCCTCCCTCATCAGAAGCATCTGGTGAGATGGATACCGCTTTAGACGTCACAAGCCCGCTCTTCTCTCGAGACAAACTTGCTTCGCATGCCCTGGAATTGCACGACGAACCACACAAAATGCCATCTTTCCGACGACGAGTAGGACGTGGTGGCCGGTTGATGATAGACCGTCGTAACATGGGAACTCACAAAGTCGAACTGGATCCCCTCAAGGCAGACCGCTTCAAGTTCGACCACGAGGATTCCGACGAGGAGCCCGAGTATGACACCGATGCGTACAGCATCCAAATCATGCAACACCGGGCCATCACCATGGCCAAGGCGCGCGAACAAGCCGCTCAGGCTCAAGTGGCTGCCCAGGCCCATGCGCAGGCGCAAGCCCAGGCAGTCCAAGCCCAAGTACAAGCTCGACGACTTCAAGCCGACCAAAATGGTCCTCACGGACCCGGGTCCAATGCCCAGGTGGCAGCGTCCGCAGCCTGAACGACTTTCTTTTCTCCTTTCCTCATTTCACAGCATTTGGCGGGCGTTTCTGCGTGGCTTTGTTTTCGTTCTTCTTTTCGACACTTGTTTTTTTTTTTTCGCCTTCTATCACCCTTGTAGTTTTAGTATCTCTTTTTTTTTTTCATGCTTTGACGATTTCCGCGGGCGGCGAAGGGTCCTGGACTGAAGCCCTATATACTTGTTTCCTTTTTCTTTTCTTCGTTTCCTGTTCCGCGTCCCCTCCACTTCTTCTCTCACACCTCTTTCTCGACGTTTCGTTTCGGCGCAGGTGCCAGTCACGTCGTGGCCTGAGCGCACCTGCATTTGTTAGTGTACATATTTTCTCTTTTTTTCTCGGTGGTGCTGGCTGTTTGTCGAGCGGCCTTTGTATGATGGATAACCGAAGTTATGATGCAAGCGACGAATGGTAGGGCAAAAGAAAAGGCTCAAAAACATTCAGAAAATCTAACACAATTTAATACTCGCAAAAAGCACTTTTCTTTGTCGTTGGTTCAGTAGAACGCTTGGGTTGTGGGAGATGTAGAATCGAAGTGATGGAGGCTTTCACATCCGCTGGGTCTTGAATTGTCGTGAATCACCGTCATCGCCATTAGCGGGGCGCTTCAATGATCCAGTGGCTGTGGGCTCCAACATGCCGAGGACAGCCTGCAGGACTTCCTTCTCTCCAATGCGCACCTGGAGTGCCATCCTGGCTCGGCGAGACGAGGTATCCGAGGCGACAGACATATCCAAAGGAGGAAGCGAGGCCAAAAGCTGAGCATCTTGTGCCAAAGACGATGCATATTGTGCCTGCTGGGTCTGCAAAGCTCTAGTCAAAATGGCAGCTTGGTGGGCTTCGAATGCCGGCTTGGGAGGCTTGTTCTTAGACTGACGCTGCTTGAACTCCTCTTCAGGGAGAGCAAGAGTAGTCAAGAGGATCACCAGCTCAGCAGGGAGAATATCTTCCAAAGATGGGTTGGCGTTGACCGGTCTGGGGATCACATAGCCGTCGTCGAGAATGTCGTGTTCATCGAGGAATTGGAGCCGGGGTTGGGACTCAATATCGGCGTTTCCAAGACCTGCAGCCTGGCAGATGCTGCTCAGGGACAACTCGACTACGTCGTATTGGGCGTAGTTTTCGGTTACATAGCCGTACCGACGGAGGAGGTCTGCGCGCGGAATTTCTCCGTAGTCGTTGAAGATTTCCTCGCCTTGTTGGATTGGCTTGATTGCCTTCATGACTAAATTTCCTTCCTCTTGGTATAGACGGGCCTGATAGCAAGTTAATTGCGGTGTCGAAGATGGGGTGTAATAGACTCACGTTGTTTCGGTCCGCGTCAGCGTTAAGGAGATCAGCGAGCGGAACCATGCCCTTGGGAAGTTGTTCCTCCTCATCATCGGTCATGTAGCTGTCATCAGCAGCCTCTCCTTCATCATCGTCATCCTCAGCCTTTTCAATATCAAAGGCATAAGCCATGATCAACGACCCCATGACATGAGCAAGCTCAAGCAGAGCAGCAGCACCGGCATCACCATCAAAAGAAGCCACACCATGGGCAGGTGGGAAGAGAGCCGGGTTTCCTCTAACAACAGGAGCAATCATCTCCAAGATGGACTGCTCAGCACCCTCTCTGCCAATCTTCTCCACGATGGTACTAGCTTGCAACTCCTGCAGCTCAGCAGGCGACCAAAACATCAGGGTATCAAAACGAGAAGGTAAGACCCGGAAATAAGGAGCCCATTTTGACTTCTCTCCCTGCAGATATTCATACAGCATAACCAACATGAGAGAAAGCCACGGACCGAGCTGCTCAACATCCTGACCGAGCAGGGTCTTCAGCTCGGAGTTTTGGACGGCGAGGACTAGGCCGCGCGGGATCGAGAAGAGTTCTTCACCTTCAGGGATGTTGCTCTGTGCCACTAGAGCAGGGCAGACATGTTAGTGACTTGTGAACATGTCTGTGGGACCCATTTCTGGGGACACTGCATGGGCACTTTTGTGTGCTTGGCGGGGATCTTTTGCAAAATACTCACCGACACCTCGTCCTGCACCGCTTGCTCTGAGATCTGCAAGTCTGAGGTTGGGGTTTAATTTCACTCCTGGAGTTGCTTGCAGCCAGGAAATGAAATTGTCCGACTGTTGTTGGAAGCCCTCGGGGTCGGAGAAGTGGGTAGTCGAAGACATTGGGAAGGTGGGGGCTGGGAGGGGAGAGGAGAGGGGAGGATTAGAGAAAGATATAATAAGACAAGAGGATCATGCAGTCAAAAGGGACAGAAGTGAGGGAAATGAAAAGGCAGAGAGAGGGGAAAAGAAGAAGTAGAGTAAAGAAGTAAAGAGAGGAAATGTTCGGAGAAACGGGGTGCCGCTTTAAACCGATAACGATAACGAAAAACATTCATACTTCGACATTTTCATGCTTCTCTTTCACATATACTCTCATTCTTTGACATTCTGCCCATCATGATCGCAATTGGCATGGAAGGCTCTGCCAACAAATTGGGCATCGGCATCATGCTGCATCCCAACGATGGCAGCCCCCCGCAGGTCCTCGCCAATATCCGTCACACCTACGTCTCCCCACCAGGCGAGGGGTTCCTGCCCAAGGATACAGCGCGCCATCACCGCGCGTGGGTTGTGAAGCTTGTGAAACAGGCGCTGAAGGAAGCCCGAGTATCTGTAGACGATGTGGACTGCATCTGCTTCACCAAGGGACCAGGAATGGGTGCCCCGCTACAGAGTGTGGTAGTCGCAGCGCGGATGCTGAGTCTGCTCTGGGGCAAGGAATTGGTCGGAGTAAACCACTGTGTTGGACGTATGTCTCGAATGCATCGCATCAATGCCCTTCTAGTCCAAGAACCAAAAGGTCTGACAATGTGATATCCAGATATCGAAATGGGTCGTCTCATCACCGGCGCGACAAACCCAGTCGTCCTATATGTCTCTGGTGGAAACACACAAGTCATCGCATACAGCTCGCAGAGATACCGTATTTTCGGCGAAACTCTCGATATGGCAGTAGGAAACTGTCTAGACCGGTTCGCGCGCACACTGCACATCTCCAACGACCCAGCACCAGGATACAACATCGAACAGCTAGCAAAGCAAGGAAAGCAGCTGGTCGATCTCCCATACGTTGTGAAAGGAATGGATTGTTCATTCTCAGGTATCTTAGCAGCAATTGATGGCCTCGCCAGGGAGTGGGGGTTAGGTGGGGAAGAAAAGGCGAAGGAAGATGAACAGAAGAATATTCAGAAGAGCGTCATTACTGCAAATGAGGGTCTGGAGAGCACTCCTACCCGTGCAGACTTATGCTTCTCCCTTCAGGAAACTGTCTTTTCAATGCTTGTTGAGATCACTGAGCGCGCCATGGCGCATGTTGGCTCGAAGCAGGTCCTTATTGTCGGCGGTGTTGGCTCCAATGAGCGCTTGCAGGAGATGATGGGGATTATGGCGCGGGATCGTGGCGGCAGTGTTTATGCTACAGATGAACGGTTCTGCATTGATAATGGCATTATGATTGCGCAGGCTGGTATGCTGGCATATGGGACGGGCTTCCGGACTCCTTTGGAAGAATCTACGTGCACGCAACGATTCCGGACAGACGAGGTGCTTGTCAAGTGGCGGGATTGATATTGATATATCATGCTTCAGTTTAAAAGATCCATCACGTGTTATGAAATGAACGAGTCAGATCCAATATACCATTCGAACCCGGTCAATGAATCTTAGGTAGGCCATTGATCCCTAACTAGTCAATTCAACTGTTTCAGAACATTTGTAAATTTGTTGCATAAATCTGAACGCCTGTGCACTCCTGTGTAAATTGCCTGCATAATCAAATTCCACGTCCTCTCAAAACCTAATACGAAAGTAACGCCCGAGAAAACATGCAAATGTAGTAATATCCTCTTCGTGACGCATTCTTCAACATACATTCATATGGTGACTGTCGATGGTCTGGCAGTCCAGTGAGTATTGAGTTGCCATTGGTGATAAAGTACCTCAAGGGCTCTTGGACAGAGGTATGACCGACAAGTCGATAAAAGAGGAGATTCGTCGTAAACATCTTTCATATTTGCAACTCGGATAATCACAATAGCCGGAGGCAGAAATTGGCAAAAATGTATGCATGCATGAGAGAACCACCTAGGTGCTTGAGCATAGCTCAATCTGTTATATCGCCAGTTGGTTTGTACAAGATAGTCGTAACATACTAGAAGGCTTTCGTTAGATTCTATCGTGAGCAATGAGTAAAAGGTCGACATACTTTTCGTTTGTATCTCGTCGTCACACTAGTAGCCAGAACTCCGTTTTTGATGCTGCTTGTGGCAAGATGGTTCAGAACAGTATGATTAGGGTAATTGAGAACACTGCTGTCGTCTTTCATGGGTGTCGTGCCATTAAGAATTGATTTACCCAAGAAGAGAGGCAGGCTAGGTGGGGTAGCCGTGTCTCCAATGACATTGGCAGCCTGCACATAGGCTGGGTCTTCTTCTTCCTTATCTAGATCGGCAAGGAATTGAGGAATAGCACTGCCAAAGTCACCGGGTGGTACTTCTTCTTCGCATTCATCTTTCTGTGGAGGGACATCCTCTAGTCCTTTTGATTGATCTTGCTTAGAAGAATCCGGCACCGTTTGAGGGGTGTGGGCTCCTGGCTGAACGCCCGAGTCCCTGTCATGAGCATCATCTGCGCTGATCTCAATGTAGTTGACCAAATGGTTAGTGAAATCCACGGCAGTTGGGAGACTATCTGCGGCGCGCATTTCTCCATCAACAATGAACTTCAGGTGGTGCGTGCCAGGCCGGAGGTTCAACGTAGTGGACATAACGGACGGGTTATTTTCACTATATCACGTTAGTCATGCCTTAATGTAATTGCAATTTGAATACACAACCAACCTTCTGTGTAGGCGAAACTTCTTCTCCCAGTTGACAAAAGTTCCCGTAACGTAGACCTTTTGAGCAGGCGCAGTCCATTCGATAACCACCGGGACAGCCTTGCCCACTCCACTGATTGTGTATGGCTGGAGCTCATCGATCAGCTCCTCTTCTTCAATTGTTGTATTACCCAAAGCAGTGGTGCTCTGGTCCAGTTGATCGTCTAGAAGCTGGTTTGTGGGAAGCGACTGGATATGCGAGTCCTCTGGGCCCATCGGCGATCCGGGCGTAGTATTAGCATCACCAATTGGCAATGGTAACCGCGGTGGACGTTGCAGATGTGCCGATGCGCTATAGTATGAGTTGAGGGGCGGGGCAGACGGTGCCACAGGGTCGCGCCCTGGGGCATGGCGCGAGGTCGGGACCTGGACTGGGTTGGAGTGGTCCCGGATTGGAATGTCCTTGCTCTGAGAAGGCTCCGGTCTCCGTGCATCATGTTTCTCTGGTCTTTCTAAGTCCTTGAGAGAGCTCTCGGGGGCATTTCGAGATTGGAGGCGCTGTTGAACGGATCCTTGGTATGTTGTCGATTGCCCGGCGGCAGTCTCCTTAGTGGCGGAGGGGTCGGCCGCGGTGGCCTTGTTGTTTGAGATCGCATTGAGAGAGGAACGACGGGCGATTTTACGTTCGCCTGCGGAGCTGTGGCCAGCATGGGCCGGGGGCGCGTCGCCGACCGGGCCTTTGGAAGGGTTGTTGCCCATCGAAGGCGGGGAAAGGTATCAACTGGGTAACCTTTTGCGGGCGGTCGAGAGTAGGATTGGTATGAATCACAACGGAAGCATGAAAGAAGACTCGTCCGATGCCAACTCACAGGAAGTATTGGCGGTGGAGGAGTTACTAGGACGATGTACTCTCGCTGTACAGTTACAAGTCGAGGCGGACGATGACGCCGGAAGCCCAATCGGGAAACTTAGGGCTTAGGGCTTGACAGTTCGACGCGGCGCGTGCTACTTCGATATCAAAACAGTTGAGTCAGATCGATTCTCAACGGCAAACATTCCTAAGTATACAAAAGCCATGAGCTGGATCTCAGTCCCAGCGGCTATTATGTCGTTCATTTTCAGTGTTACAACTCAATTACTGTCCTATTTGCTGTCACCCCTTCTCTTCCTCCTATCACCGGTGATCTACCTCGGACGGCTTGCTTTATACCTAACTCTGCTTCCATTGCGCATCTTGATCAGATTAGAGGTATGCGGTGGAATAGAGACTTCATTTCTTTCAATTTTATCCTGTAGTGCCATGTGGTCCTCACGTCACTAACCTCTGACAGGCATTCATCTACTTCATGACCGGGGCTGTTCTTATTGGAGCTACTATAGGGATGTTCCTATACTTCACCGGAACTGGTCTGTCGCATGTGCTACGGATTGAAGATTCAGATGAACCTCACCGGCGTCCTGTGAAACATGAGGCTATAGATCCTGCACCACAAGATTCACCCTTCGATTACCTGGATCTGAAGACGGAAGATCACAAATTCCTACCCTCGACAATATTGGAGGAGGAAGAAACAAGCTATGACTCTGAATGATATACGCATACGTGCACCTTGGTTGAATATCAGGACATAATCTCATGATATAATTGAAGCTGCCATTGCAAATTTGATATAAACTACTTTCTACCCAATTTTGCCCATTAAATCACAACGATTGCTTGGGACAATCATATGCAAGTATGTTGAGCATAACATAGTGTTTTAATTAGTAGTGCAATAATTGACGACTCGTGAGAACTCGACAATATCAATCTCCAAGTCCGTCGTCCTTCAACAGCCCGGCCGGGCTAGCTCAATCGGTAGAGCGTAAGACTCTTAATCTTAAGGCTGCGGGTTCGACCCCCGCGTTCGGCTATTCCTAAACACCGTCCACGAGTGAGCGTTTCTTTTTTTTTTTCGTTTTTTGGTGGAGAAAGTTTTTTTGACGGGTCCCCATGCTGACGGATTAGGACATGGTTGCGTCCCAACCAATCACAGCTTCTGGTTATACTCCACTTGGGCAAAATATCCAAATGTATCCTGCAACACATGGGAAACATTGTTACTTAGTCTAATTTTTTTGAACAATGGATATATTTTTAGTCTGTGAGAGTACCGCTCAAATTGGCTTGGGTAAACATGCGATCTAGCCAATCGGTTTTGAGTAGGTATACCTGGGGACGGTAGAACACATATATATACCCTCAGGCCGCGTCCCTCATTCCCTTTCATTCCCAATATCCTCAATATTTCATTCACTTGAAGGGGGTTGCTCAATTTGAATCAAGCCTAAAGCCCAAAATGGTCCGAATCAGCGAATTTGCCGTGGAGCGTGTAAGCAAACCCCAATCCCCAATATACCCTCAAACCAACAACCCTTAACCTCAAAAAGTGGATGGACCTATACGAAAACGATGCAAAGCATAATCTTGCCGAAACCTGCTGTGCCTCAATCTCCCTAAATGATCTCTTGTCTTTTTCCCAAAAAAAGGATCTAGTAGACTACAGCCAGAAACAAGTCTACGGCGCGATCCGGGGATCGGAGGCACTGAGAGCCAACATCGCAAATCTATATTCCCAATCTGTCTCTGCAGAAGGTGTGCTCGTGACGAATGGCGCGATCCAGGCGAATTTTCTGGCACTTTATACGAATATTGGCACCGGGGATCATGTTATTTGCCAGTATCCGACGTATCAGCAGTTATACTCCGTGCCGGAGTCTTTGGGTGCGGAGGTTAGTCTGTGGCGATCAAATGAGGAGAAAGGGTGGAGCTTGGATTTGGAAGAGTTGAAGACTTTGATCCGGCGGAATACGAAGTTGATTATTTTGAAGTATGTGTTTTTCTGTTTGGTGTTGATGTTGGGTTTCTAACCTAACTGGCCATATAGCAACCCCCAGAATCCCACAGGTGCTATTCTTCGCCGCGAAGAATTACAGGCAATTGTTGATATTGCGCGTGAACATGATATCCTCATTCATTCTGATGAGGTGTATCGGCCTCTTTTCCATTCTCTCAGCCAGAGCGAGGGGACTCCCCCGTCTATCCTTGAGTTTGGATATGAGAAGGTGATTTCGACTGGTTCCATGTCCAAGGCATTCAGCCTGGCTGGTATCCGGCTGGGCTGGATTGCGTCGCCGAATCCCGAGATCATTGAAGCATGTGCTTCTGCTTGTGATTACACGCTTATCTCGGTTGGCCAGATCGATGACGGTGTAGCTGCACATGCCTTGTCTAGTCCTTGCGTGGAAAACTTGTTGCAGCGCAATCTTCAACTGGCCAGACAGAATCTCGATGCGCTTGAGTCGTTTGTACATGAGTTTAGCTGGGCTGTGAAATGGACCAGGCCTCAGGCTGGAACGACTGCGTTCATCAAATTCGTTGATAGGGAAGGAAGGGCTATTGATGACGTTGTGCTTTGTCAACGACTGCAGGAGACGACTGGAGTGATGTTGGTCCCTGGAAGCCAGTGTTTTGGAGGTGGTGTTGATTTCCATGGATTTGTGCGAGTAGGCTATGTCCCTGAGCACGAGGTGATGGTCGATGGTCTGCAGGCCTTGAGGAAGTTTATGCGTGACGGGTATGAGAAGCTGTCATTGGCGTAGTGAGGCATTTCGTTCTCTAGAATAGAACCAATTCTAATCCCAGTCTTGCAAAATAGCTATCCCAAGACAATGAAGTCTTCGATGCCCAGTATTTGCTCAAAAGTTCCCGTGCCCTTGTAAAATTACCCATCCCAAGGTTTTGCATATCGCCCATTCGCTTGTGGATGAACTCTCGTTCTTTGGTGTCATTGGTTTCACAGCCAGCGCTAAACATTGGCCAAAGAATTAGGATATTTGCAGATGATAATGATGACATTTGTTCAACGGCATGAACAATGTTCTTGATGTCTGACTTGACAAGATGGTGATTGCCTGGAAGCATCTGAACCCGTCGGTGAAGATGCAGCAAAGCGGAGTACACAAAGGCTAGGTGTGTGCTTTGCAACTCAATATGATCCCCAATATCGGAAACCCGGCAATCAACAAGTGAACGTATATCATTCTCGAGTGAACGAGACTCCTCCATAAGTTCGCGCAACTCGAGCCCACTTTGGCTTTGTCTCTGCACCAAATTAGACAGTTTCGCAAGCAGCGGGGCCAATTTCAGGGAGTAGCCACATATGTCGTCAACATGCATACTGTCCTGATCACCAATCCTGTTCAACAGCCCATTCTCAGGGCCCTGAATATTACTAGTGCTTAGTCCAGATAACCCTGCGAGAACATCCATTGTAGTGAACCACTTCACCAAACACTGGACATAGGGATCAGCAATGCGCAATGTGCCCTGACTGTCCAAAAACGCAGCTAGCAGACGCATAACACCACCAAGATGGGTGCGCCATGTCTGCATGTTCCCGTTGCAGACATCATTCGTACAAAGAGCCATTGCAGAAGTCACCGTCTCCGCTGTCAATGTTGCATTCGTGTTGTAGAGGGTCGATCGTAGACTGGAAATCGACAGATTCGTAAATTTCAAACATGAAACTCTGGAATCTGGCCCTGTATCCTTGACGAGTCGGCTGTGGTGGCTACAGGCAGACGCTAGCAATGCGTAGAGGAGATGAGGCGTTTCTAGGGAGCTTGCAATAATCCTTTGCAGAAAGATCTCCGGGGCTGCAGGGAACAGCCGCGGGGCAGTCTCAGTACTGAAAATGTGCATAAAGAATTGGGACTCTTTAGATGACAGAAATGGCGACAAATTGATCGTCGGTTGATGCGCGAGAGGGTTCAGACTCTGGCTGACACTCAGGTCGACTTGACCATTCACATCCTGCCTTGCCCGAATTGGCCGATGCGTAACCAGGTTCAGATCATACTTGCACTCTTTCGGAAATCGAGTGCAGCGCGAACATACTGGCCTTTTCAAGTCGCACTATAGACTAGGGTCAGTGAGATTCATGTGGAGTGGGATGATGCTGTTACTTTTACTTTCTTCCTGCGACACTCCACGCAGCCATCTCGTCTTCTTTGGGCACAGCCGCTTTTAGTAACTCGATGATTCTGCATCAAACGTTATGCACAAAGAGAAGAAGTGAACGTTGTGAAGTGAAGAGGATCGGGAGTCCCACCTTGCCCTGTTTGAGTTAAGTACCCGATCCAACCAATCACATCACTTCATATATCCTCCCCATCCATCTCTGTCTAACATCCAGACTCGGGAGCATGAGAATGATCTAGGTTAATGCGCACCTGACAATACGTCCCTCAAGTGGCTTAATCTACCTGCGTGATATATTGTGCTTGTACATCTACAACTTTCTGTGTAAGCTTCGCTCGAATTTACTCACTACTCCACGTCTGTATGCTATATGCGATGATACAACAGGGGGTCATAAATGTGTATAGAGTGCCACTGATGAAATAATAGGCAGTCTACATGAGCCTTGAAGCCAGTATACCGTTTAATTAATTGTTTCCTCCCACCTTGGCCTCTTTTCACCTCTTTTTCACCCATTTTTTCGAGTTTCTCGTATTGTAGTTGCGCCAAAATGGTTGGTTAGTCATACAGATTATATAAAGGTGGGGGTATAAAGGGATTATGACCTCCGACTGTATAAAACCTGTGCAACCGTTTAACATTCTGTAAAACCAGCTGTCTGTCCCAAAGTTCGTCTGATGTCTTATGATATTTCCTTTGTGTCCACGCAAAATAAGCGACGCGGCATAGTAATGTTGTGCAACTGATAGTTCTTTGCAAGGATATTTATATCCTTGTAGCCTTCTGCTGTAGCTTGGCAAGCATGTTTTACTACGTCTACCGCAGCCCACGTTCATTCAAAGTCTATAAAACCCCCCGTGGTTCCGTTTCTTGATATCTATATATTGATGTGCAGGATTAAGAGACCAGAGGCTACTGCACATCGAAACCAAAATAAAATCAATCGCAAGAAGTGAGCTACTATAATCACAACGTAAGAAGAATTTTTCAATGTGATTCTCTATCGGGAGAGCACCCTACCTTAGTTATATCTTGCTGATTCACCCACTGCTTTATCTGGCCGATGAACGCAACGAAGATGCATAAGCTCTCTAGGAGATGAACGATTAGTCGTGAATTGACTAGCCTTCTTCGTTGACTACAGCATATGTCGTTGTACGCTCGTCCTAAATATTCACGAGATGGGGACAAAAGAGCTGTCAAATCTTGCGGGCCTGGATAATGGAGCAGATGGTAATCTCCTTCTAACCTTAGACAGAAATATGGTTATCAAATATGTGCGATGCGAGTGATACAAGCATTTCTTGGACCTGGGCAAGATCAGCCATGGCCACCTCGTTGACGTTCTGTCCTTTTTGAATGCCATAAAAATTGACAGAGCTTTGGCAGCAAATTCGTGGACAATTTCCTCCTCCTCGTCAACAATTACCTTGTAAGATTCCAGACCAGAGATTGTCCCGACATAGTTTCGAATGTAGGCAACATAGGTCTGCAACGCCCACTCCAAGCTGCCCAAAGCTGATGATGACGACCTTCCCACTACTGGTAATAAGTCTAAATTAGACTTGT